AATTATCCCACTTCTGAATAATAAATGACAGAATCGTAGGATGGACTTTTTTCGTTTTATCGTTGACCCCAAGGTGCATATAGAAAGTCCATATGTATAGAGCGTATCTCGCATTGTGGTCTGGGTAACACTTAAACCTGCCTTGCAGTTTCTCAATAATATCGAGATCAATATAATTAAGTATGGTATAACAAACAACAAAATATGTTCAATTTACGCTGGCAGGAGTAGAAATTAGTTTCTCTGGTAACAAAAGAGGGGCAGAAGTCTCGTTATTATTTCCTAGGGAGATAATGTGACATATATTTTCTCCCTAGGGAGTTTTTACCAACTTTACATTTTCCGCATAGCATCTGCGCTTACGGAACACCCTTTAGTGAAGCGAGTATAAGCTGCATCATACAGATTTCTAGAATCACTGCAGTGCAGCAGCAGTATCAATAGTTTCTTCCCAGTTAACACAGATTGATCCCAGAGATGTAAGAGGGCATCACATTCATGCCACACATCACATCTGTGACTCGAAATGAGAGGCCTAGTGAAATCACAATGACTGCTATTTCGGACCCTTTTGGTCATTTTATGATTCACATTATGATGCCAAATGAAAATCACAGTACGTATTATGCGACTCCTCATTCAACATCAAAATTGATTTATTCCGTTCGTTACATAAATAGACAAGGATGTGAGGTTTCAGTGAGTCTCTTGGTTGTTAGGGAGACTCATAAATTCACCAACATTTCAGGTATCAAATTTGATAAAATGTGAGGAATATTGCGAATGTTTTGTGAAATAAAGAGTCTCCTGGCAATACCAATGATGTTTTGTTGTGACTCGCATTGTTACCTAGCGAGGCATGAATGTGACATCCCAGGGATGTTTGTGTTTACTGGGTTGGGGTTTTCCTTGCTTCTTGTTCCATAACCGTTAACCATTTTCGAAGCTGTTTTCATAAATTCCAGTTTGATATTTGCTGTCACCATGGGTCAAGATACGAATTCCACAAATATACTACTACTAATTATGACAAAAACACTCTGACCAAATTCAAATTCTTTCTTGATTTTTGTTTTTTCGCCAGCGTAAAAATAGTATATACACCTCAGGACAAAATTTGTATCTCTCGGGCTTCGCTCTCGAACTACAAATCGCACCTTAGAAAAAATCTTGCATTTCTGTGACTTCATTTCATTTAATTTCCGTTCATTGAGTATACATGTGGACAAAACTGAAAGTAAAAATTATTATATTCTGGTTCTGAATTTATGCGAGTTATAATAACTAATATTCAGCTCCTTTTTCTTCAATTATACTATTTCTTGTGTCAAAATATCGATTGCTCGTACACATCAATACAAGGATTTTATTGATTCACATGATTAAAAGCCTATAGCGCTCTATTTCATTGTCGATCGATTATATGATCGTGAAACATTTTCATATGCACCTTGGAGTTCTGGCTCAACCCCTCAATATTAATAAGAAGAAATAATAAAATTGATCTATCATAGACCATAAACTCGTAAACTAGAATTATATCCACACGCCCCGTCGTCTGGTGTGCAACGTAATTTGGCCATATAGGCGGTTATACCTTATTGAACTTTGAACTCCGACCCTGGATTTTCCGGAAGCAAAGTCTGGAGAGTCTGGAGAAAGCTTAATAATCTATGCAGATTGGAAAATGATTCCAGGAGTATCATCATAAAAATACAGAAGAGATTAGATGACTATATAATACTCATCAAAAATGTCAGTACCTATATCTATGAGAAGATTACATTTTTCAATGATAGATTATTATTAGGTACGTTACCGAAAATGTATCTCTCCTATACCAAATAACACTATATACACTGTTTTACCACTCAGTTTTAATCTTCTCCCGAAGATGCAAACATATACCCAGGTAACACGGTACTCTCCGCGATATCTCTAAGTAGTTATCTTCAGGATCAAAATGCGGAATCCTTCTGCGAGGTATCAAAGATCACTATAGGCTGTCACCATGGGAAATACTCTCTGGAGTCGTCCGAAAGAAATCGCGGAGATCTCGCCTCAGATTTGATATATTCCTCATTATTGCGAATCCTTGAGGTTATCTATAACAGGAAATGAATAGGCATTTCTTTCTGCGAGCACCCAAGGATATCCTGGACGTAACAAGATCGAGAATTTCCCATTGCGAGCTCCTAAAGTAATCACAAACATAACCTGAATAATTAATGAATATTCCTACAAAAATATTGAGTTGTTTTTTTCAAAAGCCTTTATAATTCAAATACTGGGTCTCCCAAGTTATCCTTTACAGGCAATATCTCGCCTATTTGTTAAGATATCAAAAGCATTAAAAAACTGCATTAAATGGCATTAAATAACCTTCCTAATGGCTTATGAAGAATGTGATATATTTGGCAGCCCCCGGATGGTAGATACTGATCTAGTAGCATATTGTCTATAAAAATTGCGTGTCAATCTATTTGGAATACAACGATATAGCACATACTTTGTGTTTTGTTCTTGATAACAACAAAAACATGAACATTTTGTGACTTTTTTACGTTACTCAAATGACAAATTGCTTTCACCCATGTGTTCAAGAAGTTCACAAATAAGAAGTATGGATTGCATTTTTGTTTCAAAATATTAATGACAGATATTCCATTTTGAACTGCAGAACATCAATCAATGCAGACGGTACCTACCTAGTGTAATAATTAATCTAATTTCATTGTGGGACATTTTTACGAACATATGGGAGGAGGCAATTTTCAATCGATGTAACGTAAATGAGGTCAAAAATTTTTATTGTTAATGTTGTTATTATAATGAACAAAATACAAAGTACCGATGTGCTATCGTTCATTCCCGAAATAGAATAATTGGCAATTTTAAATGACAATATACAGGGAGTCCATTAAATGAAAATTGAGGAGTTGCTACCAGGTGGCTGTCCAATCTCATACACTTTTTTTGAGTCATAAAGAAAGTTCTCTGATGTCATTTGAAGCATTTTTACTATTTTTTGTTCATCTTGTCGAGTAAGCAAGTTTTAGCCGGTACCTTTACGATAACTTGGGACACCCAGTATTAACATGAAATGGGAGTCATTATCTATGATAATAATAATTGTATACTAGATACTAGATTTTCTTACTGATTATTTCAAATTTTGCAGTGAATTAATGATAATTAATTATCTGCTCTGACGAAAAAGACAAAAATGTTCTAATTCAGGTGGGATCGAGAATCAAATATCTACCTCAAATTCGTGGGTAGATATCAGATGACCTTTTTTTTTAAAGGATACCCGGCCAACTCCTCGGAGATTTTTTCAAGTGATAAAGTTTACTTGATCAATGTCTTGCTATAGAATAATATATAATTAAAGCTCATTACGTTGATCTAACTAAGTTTGGTAACTCAATCTTTTTCGCTGAAATAAATATCCAGTAAATTTAACTCCACCCCAAACAATATAGCTGGCGCTAGTTAGACTTCGCCGACAGGAGACTGCTGATAACCAATGACTTCTCAAACATTGAACACCTTACCATATTAGTGGCGATCATGTGGCGATTGGTGCAAATATCGCTCCTAAAGGCCTCGTTATAAGGTGATGTGCACGGATTCTTGAACAATTCATAGTTGCGAGCACTTGAAGAGTTCGCTATCAGTAATTGATGCGAATTTCCCAAAGTTCTCTTCACAAGGCGATGCGTGCGAAAATCTCAAACAGCTCGTAGTCGCGAGCACTTGAAAGACCTCGACAGAAGCAATTGATGCGAATCTCCCAATGTCCTCGTCACAAAGCAATGTATGCGAATTTCTCAAACAGCTCATGATTGCGAGCACTTTCAGCTATCGCCAGTGGCGATGGAAGCGTATATCTCAAAGTGCGCGCCTGAGGGCATTGTATGAGAATTTCTGCGTGCGATATCTTCAAGACCTCGCTGAGCTCAGCCTAGGTGGCGGACATTTGGCATAGATATAGCACTCTCGGCGATCTCTCAAAGAAGTTACAAAAGGCATCACAATTTCCTAAAAGGATTTCTTCAAGATATCTTTAGGACCTCTTTGTGCTGGCTGGGTATATTATATAATAGCGAAACATGTGTCGAGGCGTATAAAAATGCCAGTGATTATATATTTGGACTACCTAGCTATATTTCCGAAAAATATACTTTCTAGGCAGAAAGTTTAATTAGGCCGACTCAGGTTAGAATGTTTAGGAAGAGTTATAGTCTCCTATTTCATGGTCAGCATATTCGATATTTCTATGTGCATACGTAAAAAGAGGAAAATATTTTCCCTATATTACATCCCGAGTTTTGTTCCATTTCAAAAAATTGATTGAATAGACCTAATAAATATACATAATTCGCTGGGGAGTGACGTCATGTACGTGCCTGCAAGTAATAAATTACAGGCACATCAACGTGTCTCTAGCTCTAGATTTTCTCTAGATGCAGCGTATAAAAATTTGAAAAGTCGGTTTGGTTAGTGTGGTATAACCTCGGGTAAACCAAATAAACCTCAGCTCTAACTCCCGAGGAAGTTCTGATTTGGTTCCAGTTCTCTGCTGATTAATCCTCTTTCAAATTGGGCTATTTAGCCGAATCAGAGTAGAAAATGCGTTTTTCATTCCTATGATTGCCTATGATGATGATGCTATGATTTTGGATCTACACCACTGAACTAATAGTTCAGTGATCTACACACCCAAAATCTAGCCGAAAAACCTCTATGTGTAGGGAATATCCATAATGACTGGCTAGTGGGTTAGTGGCTAGCCATTGTTTCTGTTTCAGTGATTATGAACCGATATGAAATGAGAAGAGGAGTATCAGAAATATGAATAAAAAGAGAAGTGGAAGAAAAAAAAAGTAGAAGAAAATAACCTATAAAAGTATGAAATCTTTCGATTCCGATTCTTTGTTTGTTTTTACTTTCTAATATGACTATAACTTGATAAATTTGATACAAATCGAATACAAAGAAATGCCACGAAAATCACAACGTACCCAACGTTCTCAGCCCAACCAAAGTGGAAGCCTGTTGACCCAACAAACATTAGAAGAAACCTTTGCTGGAGGTGGAGAAGTCAATATCAACTTTGATGAGCAAACTAGCGATTTGGTTCGTTATTTTGTTAATAGGGCTGGTGATCACATGATTTTCAAAAGAGCCGATATTAAGAAGCATGTTCTTCCTAAGGCTGGGCCCCATTTTCAGAAAATTATAGACGATTCAACAAAAATTCTAAGGAAGGTATGTGGGACCTTGTATGTAGGCTCTCTTATGTTTTTTCACATTGCACACAACCATTTCAATATGTTCCAGGTTTATGGTTATAATGTGATAGTAATTGATGCAGTGCAGAATTCCTCAAAAGCTTATATAGTGAGTAATGCTTTACCTTACCTGAAGGACCCAACAGAACAAGTTCAAGAGTGTCCTGAAGATGTTCACAAAATTCTGATGTTGCTCATATTGGCCCATGTTTTTATGGCCAATAACTGTGTGAGTGAACGTAAGTAGTGAATTATTAGTTCTCCTTTCTGTCAATTATTGATTATATTTTCAGTTTCCCTTTACACTTTTTTGAAGTCATTTCAAATTGATCCAGATAGAAGGCATGAGCTCTTTGGAAATGTGAAAGATTATATACATATTACTCTGAAGAATAAGAAGTATTTGACATTAGAAATGGATCAATTGTCCAAGAAAATAAGTATTTCTTGGGGTCCAAGAGCAGAGAAAGAAATTTCCAAACATGAAATTCTAAAATTTGTTTGCAAAGTAGGTATTTTCAAATTTTGAAAACTGTTGAATCTAGTATTGGTTCTTATAGGTATTTGATTGATCATTTCATTGAAAAATGTAGTTTTTTGATATTGAAGTCAATCAGTCCTCAGAAGTATTGATTATTTCAGTTCTTATAAAACTTTCCTTATCCTTCAATAAAGTCAACAGGATTTCATTGAACATTTACCAGACCTTGAAGTTGTATCCATACATTTTTTTTGTATTTCAGATGTACAAGGATAGAGCTCCAAATTCTTGGGTAAATCAACACAAAGTTGCCAATGAACAACACTTTGAAAATCACAGAGTAAATGTTGACATACCTACTCCTATGGAAGAGGAGTAAATTATTCTTTGTAGAAGAATAAAATTAGTTTAGGAAGTTGTGTTTTATATTTTTCATTGAAAATGTATTTTACATATTAAACTTTTTTTATTTTATCCTGAAGAGAGGAGTAGAAAAAATTGTGTTATTTATGTTTTCAGTAACATGGGTTGATTAATCATTACAATATCATGTTGAAATGACTATTTCAGTCATCACATAATCTGACCAATCACAAGCCAGAGACAACCTGTGCTTAGCGCAAAAACATGAGCTGTCTTCAAGTTCTGTCTGTACTTGTCAGAATGATTCACTCATTTATAATAAATGCTTTTTATGCTTCGTGAACGTGAAATAGTCTAGCAAAATACCACTCTGTTCTGAATATCTTCTCATAATTCTGTCTTTCATTGTTGGCTCAATTGTGTTGCCTTACAGCAATACTATTCTCGCCCTGACGGACTTGTGGTGTTGATCGGCAACATAATTTAGTGACCAATATGAAGCAACAAAATTATCACTTATATTCAGAACATCATGATATTACTTATGAAAACATTAGCTGTCTTTCAATTCTGATTGGTCTATAAGCATATTGATGTTTTCAATGATGTAACCATGGATAGTGAGGCAAAGTTCTGGATGTGTGTAGACCATGGACAGCAAAGCAATAATAAGTCTGTCAGTTTGTACTTGTCAGAATGATTCACTCATTATGTAATAAATGCTTTTTATTCTTCGTCGTGAACGTAAAATAGTCTAGCAAAATACCACTCTGTTCTGAATATCTTCCGATGATTCCATTGAGACTCGTGGTGTTGCTCGGCAACACAATTTCGTGTACAATGAAAGGAAATATTCACAACATCGCGATATTATACTTATGAACAGTTTTCAAAATATTTGACCTCATATATAGAATTTATATGGTTTTTTCATCATTTTTAGTGTTAGCATAGATTAGAAAATTATAGAAATTGTTGTTATAGCTTTCTGCATTTTATAACAATTTTTGTTCCACTGCAGAAAAAGAACTAAGAAATATATCTAATGCATTTTTCAACTAAATCCAAAATGGATTCGAGAAATTGAAAATAATCAAAAATTCATCAGTGACGTGTAGAAATTATGACAGGAAAAGTTACCACAATAACCCCCTGTAGCCCACCACTGGTTAAAATGTCCGGGATGACTTTCTAGCAGAAAATTGAACTATTGGAAGATGAAACCATATCGATGGCTTAGTGGCAATACCACGAACGTATCATCAAATTTGGCAAAATAGTGATTTTCACGAATTTTTGTTCGTTAACATGCTTGGCAACATTGTGCGAAAGCACATGGTGCTTGGACCAATAGTCTTTAGTAATCAATAAATATTGTGCGTATGGTTAGTTTTTGAACCACATAGGTGAATCATATAAGAGATTGTTCATTACTTGATATTGAATATTTCAAATAACTTCATCACATCAATGTGAATGCAAAATATTCAATTGTTCCCGAGTTTTAGCGATGAAAAATTTTTTCATTTGTTAACTCCAACACCCTGTAGCTCGATAACAGATGGAACCCTAGTGAAGCGTTATTCGGCAATACCCTGTATATTTTGCAATTTCATCACTGAATATAAGTGGAAACCAGAAAAAAGTATAGAGTTTTTCTAGTACAGCTGCTGTGGGTAGAAGCTGGTAGGAGTGTAAGCAACAGGGTATAATATTTATTCTCTTATTGTCAGTAAATGTTTATACGGGTTGAAAAAAAGAACGTCGGCAAAAAAATACCGGCCACCCCTAAATATATTTTCTGTTACTGTTGCTGTTATTATCAAATTGAAATTGTTTGTGTTATTGATTGTTCATTCAACCTGTCACTACTCTCTAGTTGAAATAACGAATTATACAGTGTTCCCAAGATAAGGATGTTTATTTATGGGGTTGAGTTGATGATGGTTTCTCTGAAACGAAACCTCAACGCTGCTTTGTAGAGCTTCAACAGTGGCAATGAGAAAAAGTCCTTCGTTTTCCTATATATCTTTCAATAACGTCAGAAAAAAATAAAAACGATCCCCATGATAGTCATCCTCATCTTTGACACAGTGTATTTAAATTGGCCTGTCTTTTTGCCGATACAAGAGTTCAAAGTATAACATACATCATCTAACTTTGGTGATATTATACTTGTTGATACACATATCCGTCAGAGGATTCGAATGCAAATAATACACAATTTTCGGCGAAATCTGCACTAGCCTATCAGGCACACACCTCAACCTATTGTGGTCGAGCCGGACCCACTCTATAACCTTGAGGGACCCCAAACTCTCCGCACTAATATCCTCGATCTCATTCCGATGCAAAAACAGCCATCCCAACGTTTCGAGACAATTAAACGCCCCGTCTTCGATCTTCCTTATGACGTTGTCATTCAACATTATGTTGGTCCTTATGTGGACGTCGCTGACCAAATGCTCGCCCCGTATGTTCTGGAACACTCTGAATGGGATGGTCGTTATGTAGTTTTTTTCGAGATTGAGCGAAACTACTTTGGGGGTGTTTTTGAACCACTCGTTCGACAGGGTGGTGATTTTGTTCTCGTTTAGGAATAGGATGGTTAGGTTTGGCATGTTGTCGAAAGCGTTCGGGTGTATTATTTCGATGCTGTTGTTGGTCAAGCAGAGTTCCTTCAGAGGTAGACCGTTGAACACACCATCGCGTATGGTTTTGATGTAGTTGTACCGCATTTTGAACAGGTATAAGTGCGTCAGGTTATAAAAAGCTCCCGGTTCAATATCCGTCATGTTATTATCTTCCAGGATAATGTCCATGAGATTCGGCAAACCGTGAATTGCGTCTTTTTTCAGTACTGGTACTTGTTCGTTGATGATTTGGATGTAGGAGACTTTCAGTAGATGGTCGCTGGGCTGGAAACACCCTGTGATGTTTTTGATGTCTTTGGCACCCTTGACTGTTACTTTCACATGGTCGAAAGTGATTTCTCGGCAGCACGTTGCGAGAGTGATGACGAAATAGAGGAAAATGTACACAAAGACTGGTGTTGACTGCATTGCAGGGATTTGTGTACTACTAGTGTATGATACCAGCGGCTAAAGTTGAGACGTGAAGTTGATTTCTGAATAAGTCATGGGTTATCAGTTAATGAAGTAATGACTATTATAAGCGGAGTATGTATCGTGGATTATGAGGCTACTATCAATTTTCTTGGGATGTTATCACTGAGGTATTTTTAGAATTCGCTCATGAATGAATGCTACAGGGTGGTGAAGTAATTGGCGGTATTCGGCGTCACTAGTGAAATTATAAAAATAAACGTTCTAAGTGGTGATAGTTATTCAAGGAGTGAAAATGAGTAGTTTTACTCTCTAGATCTATATGAAAGTGTGGATATTCCGAAACTACTAGGTACCTCTCGAAACTATTCATAAGGTTACTTTGAATATATGTTTTGTACCGCTACTCAATGGCGTATTCAGGAGAGGGGGGCGGAGGAAGTTTCGCCTCCCCCTGGCAAAAGAAAACCGAAAAATTATTGGACAAAATATCGACATGTTCCTCACTTAATGAATTAATTCCCATAAATTTAGGTGAGGAGAGTGAAAAAGTGTTGGGCGAAGTACAAATATTTCAAACAGCTATACCTATATAATAACTCAACATGTTGTCAAACATAAAAACACTCATGAACACAGACTTCAATTTTTATCCTCCAATCGCAAAATATTTGCGTGACCGTGTTATATAACTAACTATAAATGTCACTATGCTACTATGTTCAAATATTAAATTACATATCTCCACAATGAAAATCTGTTGAACAAAATTCATATTTTTCAACATACCTCCTATATGACTGAAACATTTGAAATTTGCACCCTTATAGGTTCTGCAATACTTTTGATAAGACTTTTTTTAGTAAAATCAATAATAAAAAAGTTTACCATAAAAAATCACTTCCCAAACCAAATTGCGTGCGGGTATAGGGTGAATCACGCACGTTGGTAGAAAACATTTATTCAACATTTTATTTTTATCCTGCAGATTATTTATTACAGAAAATATCACACTCAAGTTAGTGAAAAAGATAAAGCAAAAATGTAAAAATTAAAAATGACAATAGTTCAGATTGTAACATTTCCTGGAACGTTAATAAATTAATACCAAAAAAGTCAACGAGTCTGAAGAAGACATAGGAAAACAAGGAGATAAACCGAAACAAATTTACAGGGTGATTGTTTATAATTTACTCAATAGCTATCTCAGTTAATATTGGTTTTACAGATACTTTCAAATGGGCAAAGATTAAGTATGTTTTATGGGCATTCAGGATTTAGTTATAAGAAACGAAAAGAAGCATCAAAAACCTAGAAAAAATTTTAATAAACCGGTATTTTTTGCAATGGAGCACCCTGTACTTCATTAATCTAAACTGGGGAAATATCGAAACTTCTTTTTCTGTCACACTCATTGAGCTTATGGAAACTTTGAACGAGAATATCTTTGTAATAACTCAATCAAACCCAGTACCGTTGAATTCGTTATAATAATCTCCTATTATTTATGGAATAAAATACAGGACGTTCCATTTGAAAATCGAAAGTTGATGTCATTTCCAGAAAAACCGGAATATGAAAAAAACATCCCTAAAATGTGAGAATGTGCTCTCTAGTGAGCATATTCGATCTTTCGACAGTTTTTCAAAAATATAGATTTTTTGGTATACAAGCAGGTGGTCCGGTTTGTGATACAAAAAATTCAACAGTGTATTGTACTTGTTGAAATAATGAAGAAAGTTCGTTTTCGAGATAAAGGGTGTTGAAAATACGAACCTGAATATTGTTTTTTGATGGAGACACTTCCAGATTAATAAACGAAATCACTCACAGATACTAAAAACAAGCTCTATAAGATGAAATGAAAATTATTTCATAAAGTGATTCAGTGGCGGCTGAATCTGGGGGTGGTGAGGAAAAAAATCACCCCAATTTTTATATGTGCATTCAACTCAGATGATTACAGCACCCGCCTTCGGCTCGTACTGCAACTTTCATCTTCGTGGGTAATAGCCATCATTATGCGCTCGTTGAATAATATACTATACTACTACATGCCCATAAAAATACTTCATTTTGCCCATTTGAACTTTTCTGCTAGACCAATATTAACTGAGATAGCTATTGAGTAAACTATAAACAATCACCCTGTACGTACCAAAAACAAATTCAAACCGTTCTCAAACAAAATACGCCGCCAACGCGGCCATCTTGTCCTTGGGCGGCCTGCCCCGCCCACCTCTCTCACCCCTGCTGCCACCCCTTCTTCCTCGTCGGCCCCTGAAGACCCTCGGCCTGGATATCACGGCCGCCTTATCCATAGGAACTGAAAAACAATATCCAACTGTTCAATCAGAAGATTCCTGAGTTCGAAATTTCAAATGAATAACAAGTAAACAAGAAACTGAACATTTGTAATTCAAAAATGATATTTGTTTCAACCAAAAATTTACAACCCTTTGAAAATTAATTATACTTTATACATTATTTGTATGAAATGTATCAATGAAGAAGAGAATGTAATGCAATAACTGAAATAAATAAATAAACAAATAATCAGTGATTCAAGTTTGAGTGTGTAATCACAGAACGTCTTCTTCTTTTGACAGCTCTGAATTTACATACTGAAACAGCTCTCCATTTCACAAATCTTTCCGCCTAATTTTCAGTTGCCACAGTAGAAACTGAAAATGTTTTGTCTGCATGTCTAATTTACAGCTGCAATTGTGAATTAGGAGTTATGAAAAACAAATAAGAGATCTATAAATTATGCCGATATTGTGAAAAAAGTTTTTTCAGGATCCAAGCCGTCGTATTTTCTCGACTTGAAATAACTATATTATTTCGTTTGGCTTCAAAGATGTCTCTGAAATTAATTGAAAATGTCAATATCCTAATCTTTTCCATGGATATTATGAATCAGTTTGGATTTTATATGTGAAGATTTATAAAAAAATTATAATAATCTACAAGGATAACCAATTACTATGAATTTGTTTTATTGTTATTTTTATGTCGCATTGATAACAGATGGAAGATTGGAATGTTTCAATCAACTTGTTCCAAAGAACAGTTAGGTCATTCAGAATCTAAATAATCGGATGTAATATAGACTGAAAGTGTAATTACGATTAGAACGAGATAGTATTTTAGAGGAGAAAAGGACGCATGGGATAGTTATGTCATTATTTTTTTTTATATTGTGAAATAAACAATGACTCAAAATACACTCAAGTCGAAATTTTTCCAAAATAATGTATTAAACATCACATCTTCTACTCTCAAGATACATTAACGGCGTTTTTATACTCACATAACTAAAATGGCGTTTAGCGTACGTATATGTACCACGCTAAATGATCGATTAATCAGGGATTGACGATCTGTGATTTATTCAAAATATTTAACACGTCACTATGGCAACATGATTTTTTAAGCACATTAACATGGCAACACAGTTCATTAAACACAGCTTCAGTAATTTCAGACATGTTTGTCAATAATATTCACTGTCAACTGCTATTTTCGAATTTTGTATTCGTGAGATTCACCAAGTGGGCGACATCTAGGTTACATAATACGAACTTCAAACTGGGGAAAAACAAACTGTTGTCTATGCATAAAGTGCATAGACTACATTGCATATATCTTGCTGTAGCTGTAGTTGTCAAACTTGTCAATGACATAAAGTGTTATCACTCTTATCAGTACACGGTACACAAGCTAATGGTACTAATGGGATTGAGTTTGTTATCTCCCAGTTTTGACGTGGCTTTGGCATGGAACGATGAAAACCGAGCGCCACCTGGTAACATTGATTCCCGCAAATAAGAATCATTCAAACAATTTTCGTTTGTATCAGGATTCTTCATCAAAAATATATGCGAAATGTAGACGAAAGTGAAATCGAAGAGAATGTCCTGGTACTTGCATATCTCCAAGTGTAAAAATGAAGCATCCATCTTTGAGAACAATTTATTCATTCTGCGCTAAGCATGACAATAAACGTGAAATAAAGGTTAGTAAGCAATGGACTGGACTTGGACACATCTACAACCAATATCACTTATACGTGTCTCGCTGGCTGCATGCAGTTGCATGTATTATGTTCTCAACTCCCAATCCTTCCGAATTATTTTGTTGGTGAGCAGGAATAGCAGGTATGTGAATGTAATTTTTGGAGTTTGAAGAAAACGCGTTTATAAATTCTTCTAGACACTCGTTCATTGAACACTCGCTCCGCTCTGCTCCGCTCGTGCTTAAAATACTCGTTACTAAAAGGACGTTTATAACACTTGTTACATAATATACTATTTTGTACTGAAAAAAAATAACTTGCGTCAACTTTTTATAGAAAACTTCTCACAACTGACCGTTGCGACAGTTTTCTTCCAGTGAAATAGTGAATCACCGTATACGTACCAAACAAATTCGAACCGTTCTCATACAAAATACGCCGCCAACGCGGCCATCTTGTCCTTGGGCGGCCTGCCCCGCCCACCCCTCCCGCCCCTGCTACCGCCCCTTCCTCCTCGTCCGCCCCTGAAGACCCTCGGCCTGGAAATCACGGCCGCCTTGGGCCGGTCGACGAGCCTGGCGAAGTCCGGGTGGCAGAAGGGGCAGCCCGTCGCCTCGGTCGCCCCCTGGGGCAGCCGAGACTTTTCCGGCTTGTATTCGACGTGCGCCGTTTGGGCGCCACAGTCGCAGCTGTCTTCCAAGATGGAGACCTTTTGGGCGTCGTCGAACAGGTTGATGATCGTGTCGCACCTAGATTAGTGTTTGCTAAATGATTTGGCGTTGTTGTGGAAGAATAATTTCGAAATATTCTTAGTAGTTGTTATTGAATATCATATGGTATATATTTTTGGGTGAAAATCACCATGTATTTTCGTTGGACAGTTGTCAAAAAATAATAAATAAAAGACAAAAAAGTGCATTGTCTTGTCGCTGAAATTAATTATAAAAAAGGGTAATAAAACCACATTCAAACGAAAGTCAACCACAGACAAATACATAAGTGGTCCTTCGAGTTATCTACATAAAAATCAGTCCGTGTAAGATGTTCAGCTCTCTACCATTAAGAAAGAATGAAATGACAACAAAGGTTTAGCGACGGTAAGTGAAGTTGCCTTTGAGAATATGACAGAAAAAAATCCTTTATGTAAAAAACAGGATGAAAAACTTACGAAAAAGTTAACTAAAACAAATCCGAAAATGGGTCAATCTGAACAAAATCCGCATTCCATATCAACAAACAAGTCTACAAATACAGTACCAATAGTACTATTAGGTGAAAACAATTGGAACTAGAGGTAGAAAAAGCAAAGAAAATAACTGAGATCGACAAAAAGATAATTGAAAAGGAAATTGCATTGAAAAAGGCAGTGCTAGAAGAACAATATCAATCCAGCAAGGGTTCTTCTATCGACGATAAGGAAACTGAAGAAGATATCGAAACCGTTACTTCCAAGTCTTCTTACATACAACAGTGGGTGAACTCAGTACATCCTGAGGCGAATGTTTCATCTGCGTGGATATAAAAAATATTGATCCTTTGTTGAACCGTGATATAAATACACGGTAATTTTGCACTTATCATACGATGGGTATTTTTTCGAATTTTTTTTTTGTGAAAAATGTGAACAATCAACTATTTATCGAGATATTTCAAAAAAAAGTTCGAAATTTTGCCTTCTTTTCCCCCTTATGTTGGATGCATTTACAGGTGCTTGCTCTTTTTATTTTGTCATTGGACACTTTATATACTCATGATGTACTTCAATGACACATTTTGAAATAGGAAATTCAACAGGAAATATGATTTTTAGGGCGAGTTTTTCCTATTTAGTGAGCAAGCATACCATATGACGACCATTTAATCCATAGGCAATCCAAGTACAAGATGTCGAATGTCAATAGATTGCTTTGGAATGACATTACACACGCCATTATTTCAAATGATATTCTTCCTTCTTTTCACTAAACATGGATATATCACAAGAAAATCATATTTCTAGTTGACTCATATGATAAAAAAAATGTGTCCAACATTGTTGTGTCATATATATATAAATTGTCCAATGATGGAAAAAAAAGGGCAAATTGTTCTAAATGCGATCCAGAAGACAGGCGGAAAAGAAGGTGGAATTTGTAGCTTTATAGTGAAATATCTTAATAAATAATGGTTTGTTCACATTTTCATTATCAAATTCGTGTTTTTCAGACAAAAATACGTAATTACCAAAAAAAAAAATTCGAAAAAAAAAACCATCGCATGATAAGTGCAAAATTACCGAATACACTCTCAGAATGATGTGTGCATATACATATTTTTGTCTGAAGAAGAATGCAAATTCTCAATTTCGTGTGTGTTCAATAGATATAATTCAATGTTCGTCAAGGCATATAGCCAGGAAAGTAGTTGTTTTCTATTGAATAAACTGAAAAAGAGTAGATATTCTCATCACATAGAGAATGCGAATTCTCAATGTATTGCTTCATATAAATATATATATCCATTTTTGTATATCCATAATTTATCTGAGAATATTCCTTTTCAACACTCTCAGAGTTAAAGATAAATCAATTTATGACTAATAGAGAGTCTGGAGAGTGGATGACCTTCATCACGCAATTCAAGGAGTTGTCACCGATGGAAGTTCGAGTCGTGGACGAACATGGGAATATTCAAACGACCGGTGGCGAAACTCTGTATCCTAGATATTCAGAAAGAAAATTAAGTAATGAAACAACTTCACCAAATAAAAGTTTGGGTCGTTTGACACAACTTTCTCATTCAACATTTTTTCTCTGTAAACGAAAGAGTTAAGAGGGGATTCCATTTTGATAGGCTCACCCTGTACTTCAATATATTCGAGTTAGATAACATTAACTTGTTGCATAATTACAAATAATATCAGTTCAACAGTTGAAATACGACCGCGAAGCGGGAGGGTTATTCTGTTGAACTGACACGATTTGTAATAGTGCAGGAAGTTTGAGATATATAACCTTGATTATTTTTTTCGTATGATTTTAAACATATCAAAACGTTCACTTGAGTAAAGCTACCTTGTATAATTTCGAATATACGTGGATTTACATAGAGGGTGTCCCGAAATTACATAAAAAGACTTCAACCACAGATTCTAGGATCAAAAATAGTAAAAAAAAGTTTATAAAAACAATAACCCAGAAATGGTCTTCCAGGAAGTTGTAGCCATCTGAGAGTGCCCGAGTTGATGGTTTTTTGTAAATATTTCCGAAACCCTCTGTGTGGAGATAACGAAATGTTATAGGCAGTTGAAGGCACATGCGTTCACGTTTCATGCCCGATAGGGTGTGCAATCCCGAAAAACCGATACCGGAAATCCCGAGGTCCTAGTGATATTTTTATACAGAGAATCCCGGGATCACATCCAACTAGATCCCGGGATTTTCAGGATTGGTTTTGACCAATGAGACTTCGGTCTCGTCAAGTGAATCAGATTATTATTATTCGAAGTTCCTGAAAAAAAGTTATTATGGAGATACTCGTGAGTCATAATATAAAACGTTTCTTAATTGTTTCAGAGGCAATAATTGACGAACAAGATGATGAGGAAGATAGATATCATCAAATTTAACGAAGGAAATTGACCTTTTCAAAAATGGTGGTAACAAAGCTACATATCTTCTAACAACTATATCACCCACTAGTGTAGAATATGAAAGAGTATTTTCCGCTGCTGGTATACCATTTGAACAAAAATCAGCACTTGACTCGCGGATAATACCCTTTACGAGTGGATTCTTGTACGCTCCTGGTTCAGTCAACACTGTAAGTAATGTAAAAAGTATAGAGAAAAAGGCCGACTTTTTCTCTATACTTTTTGATGTATAGATTACATTTTTTGTTCATATACGAGTATTACGTATCTACAGTATACCCCATACTTTTTTTAAATTCTAATCCCGATACCGAAATCCCGGGTTCGTGGGTTCGTATCAATTTGATCCCGGATTCCCGGGATTGTATTATTACTACGGGATTGCAAACCCTAATGCCCGATTTGGAAATGTTGAGAATTTTCCGAAATTTTGATCAGAGGCATGAGAAATGGCGCTAGGGGTAAGTTTTCTCCCAACTCTTGTTTCTATGCAATTGGCAGTTTGATTAGGAAAAATGAAAATATCATATTATTTTAGATTTACCGATAAATCCGTAACACTGTACTGGCGTAAAATGGCTCGTATCTTTAGCTATGGGCACACGAGAGCCTTAAGTTTTTGAACCATTTCCGAACCTCATTGTCAGATTGGTCACAGTTAATCACATGATGAATCATGGACGCATGCGCATTCGCTCCTAGAAAAACTCTTCGAGAGGAAGGAAAACATCCTTGAAAGGCCTAAATCATTGAACAAATGATCACAGTGGGTTGACGCCATGCTATTAGAGGACCAGAAAAAAACTCTGGGCAAACTCAGCCTCCACAATTTTGATGAGAAAAATAATCAGCAAAAAAACACGAATCTCGACATATCCCGGAATGGTTCGAAAGATTTAGGCACTTCTATGTGCCCGAGTCATGAAAATGGAGGAGACTATCTCTACGACTTTTTTTCTGAACTGAAATTCGATTGCATGGAAAAAATAAAACATATGTGCCCAATGAACTCTCATATACTATACAGGGTATGTCACGACGAGCTTACACTATCTCGATATCGAGAATCAGTCCGGAGAAATCCATGAAAATATACATGCTTATATTTCAGGATATGCTCTCTTCATTTGAAATATTTTCAGCAAAGCAGTGTTGCCGCTTCTATCAAAAAGTAGCAACAACTTCGTAATTTTAAATAGAATACCCTGTATTTTATTGCATTTTCAGGCCAAACGGCTCACATGTCCCTATCTCAACTTTTGATTCACTATTCACTTATATTTAATCGTAACAGATACAGGGTGATCAGAATTCCGAATCTTGAACCACCCTGTATCTGTTCCGATAAAATATCAGTAAATAGTAAATCAAAAGTTGAGATAGGGACATGTATGTGAGCCGTTTTGACCGATAATGAATAGTTTCGGCACAAAAAAATCCTAAAGTTGAAAAATCTCGATTCTGAACACCCTAAATTTCCGTAATCTTTTTGGATAGACCCCAAGTGTCATGCATCGATGTAATCAGCTCTTCAGGGAGATTCTGAAAATGCGATAGAATATAGGGCGTTCCGTTTGAAATATCAATATTGCTACTACTTTCTAGTAGAAGCTGCAACACTGCATTGTCGAAAATGTTTTCAATGAAGAGAGCGTATTCTGAAATATGAGCATCCACATTTTCATGGATTTCTCTCTACTGATTCTCTGTACAGATAAATGAGAATTTGCTCCTTGAAAAAGTTACAGGGTGATCAATTTGACTCAATTTTTGTCTGTCCGGTTTTTATGCCAGTGAAGTGCAATATATACACTCATTATAACAACACTGTTATTTTATATTTCCTTACTTGTTGCATCCTAATTTCCATTTAGGTCCGGAAGAGGGATCAAGTACCATAACCCCAAACTCGCATTCAGCGCAGTTGCAAACCCCATTCGAATTCAAACTGTAAGAGCAAGTGGGATGGACACATGCATTGCAACCGCTGCCTTTCTTCATTTCTCTAGAAGATCGAAATATTTTCATCAATGAACTATGAGAACATACTGATGATAAATTAATGTATTTTTTCCACCACTAACCGGAGAAATCACTATTATTCAAGGATTTCCTCTAATGAGTAACACTTTTTTGTTGAAAACTTACAGTAGTATACCGATGCCCATGCATCCTATATTCATTATTTACCCTAACGTAATGGATATTTGCGTAACCAGTTAGGAAACGCGTCATTTTGTGTGACGATGGGATTTCACGACACGAGCGAGGCCAATGAACACTGCATTTTCAATATCTACTTGGCGATATTTATCAGTATCCTTCTCAACTTCAGGCGAGGTTCAGACTCATATCAAACTCCCTGTCTTTTGAATTCTCACTCATTAATTATTTTTTTCTACTCACATAACTAAAATGGAATTTAGCGTACGGATATGTACCACGCTAAATGATCCATTAATCAAGGATTGTCGATCTGTGATTTATTCAAAATATTAAACACGTTACCATGGCAACTCGATTTCTTAAACACATTACCATGGCAACACAGTTATTAAACACAGCTTCCGTAATTTGAGACGTCTGGCCTGTCAATTGTATTAACTGTCAACTGTTATTTTCAAATTTTGTATCAGAATTTTCCATTAAAAATATATGCGAAATGTAGACGAAAGTGAAATCGAAGAGAATTTTCTTGTACTTGCATATCTCCAAGAAGTGTAAAAATGAAGCATCCATCTTTGAGAACAATTTATTTATTCTGCGCTAAGCAGGACAATAAACGTGAAACAGAGGTTAGTAAGCAATGGACTGGACACATCTACAACCAATATCACTTATACGTGTCTCGCTGGTTGCATGCAGTTGCATGTATTATGTTCTCAATTACAATTCCTTTCGGATTATTTTGTAGGTTAGCAGGAATAGCAGTTATGTTAATGTAATTTTCGGAGTTCATAGAAAAATCATAGTATGTAACGCGTTTATAAACTCTTCTAGACACTCTTTTATTAAACACTCGCTCCGCTCTGCTCCGCTCGTGCTTAAAATACTCGTTAATGAAAGGACGTTTATAACACTTGTTACATAATATACTATTATTCACCTGGAATTTTAATACAGCGTTCATTTTCTGGTAGCCAAGTTGAATTTTCTTTTAGTTTGTTTGACAACTGAACTCCTAGGCTACTTGATACATCGAAATTTTAGTAATATGCTAAATAGACACGGTGGCTCCTATCACTCCTTCAATGGAATTGAAAATCTGATTTAATTGGTTGATGTTGATATTTCAATGTTAGTATAGTGAAAAAAATATTATATTTACCTCGGGTGATAATGATATTATATTTTATGTGCCCAAGATAATGATGAACAGCATGGGGAAATCGGTAACCGCAAGAGTTACACAGTGGTCAAATGGGCAAAAAGTTGCACAATTAAGAGATCAATAAGTAGATGTTGAGAAATTTAGCGATTTGATTTTTTTTTTATTAAGTCAAGTTTCTAAAATACCAAAGGCATTTTTTCATCACCACTTTGTTACCTCTACAAGATGAAGTTCACAAAATCACAAAATCTTCATACAATGTTTAGTTTCGAAAAACGGTTACTATTCATCCTAGTCTTGGGCACGCTGTATAACTCACTTCTCACCCTAGGTGTATAATATACCATTATAACTATTATAAAGAAATATTGGTTTCAGGTACAGTGAAAAAATTGGAGAAATTATATACTTCTTGCTCTATTTTTCCTTCCAGTACCTCTTTATTTCCCAAAGTTTTCTTTCTTGTAAATCACCAATATCGACAATTGTTAGAAATCGTAATGGTTACTCACTTGAAGGGTGGATTGTTGTAGCAGTAAGGGCAGAACACGAAACTTTTACCCTTATTGCCCATCGTCCAGCAGAGGAGCTCGAAATCATCTAGGGGACATTTCAGCTCTTTGAAAAGTTTTATGATACCGTTTTGCGGCACACTGAAAGTCTCATCGCAATGCGAACAATGAAGTCGAGCAGGTTTGGCTTGGATATATTTCATATATCTTCTGCATTTTCCACATCTTCAAAAAATTACGTCCATATGACGAACATGAACCAGTTATCGTATTTTTATACCTTGAATGAGCTTTTCCTGATGCACTTAGAGGAGAGAATGAAACCTCAAAGAGCTGATCCATGGCATCGATATTTTTCACAAAATACTGAAATTTCAACTTGAAAATTTCTACAGTGTGTTTTAGAACGTCTTGGAAATTAGCTTTACCAACAGCTATGAGATTGAGCTGTTCCTCCAGTGCAGATCTCATTGTAGGTAAGACCAACTCTTGATCTATCTGAAACAAAGTGGAAGAAATATTGAAGGCGGAGTTAATTTGTATGATTGATTGAATTCATCCATATGAACTGCGGGCAAATTGAAACAAATAATGAGCTTTAGTGGAATTTTAGTTCTAAATATTTTGTTCAGAGTTATCAAGTTCTAGTTTATGACATAATTATAAATATAATATGGAGTAACTTAGTTCAACCATTACATGAAACTATGATAGAAAATGTATAGTCTGAGTATCAACTGAACACATTGCGATTTTCTCAAAAATCATAATTTCAATAATCTAAAGAAACGTTTTAATGTTTCATCTTCCATTCTCAGATGATCTATGGGTACATTGTGATAAATAACCAAGGTAGCTTCAGTGGCGGATATTCAAATTGAAATTATATAATAAGACATTTCATCTCAAAAATATGGTTGAGTGCAGAAAATTAATGAAGTTCAAATAAAAAATCATATTTTATAATCAGAAAATATTTATTTGGTAACTTGGAGAATGTATGAACAAAAAGTATTAAAAATAATAATTATGTGTATCTAAGAAGAACAAACACTGCATATTTTTTATGAATAAAAATAAGAATGTAATATATTGAATATTTGCATGGAGTTAGCAATACAAATGAATTAGTTATTTGAAAAGTAATTGTCTGATATGAAAACTGGAGTCAATAAGCCTAGATGATGCAAATAATAAAAATTGAACAAATCTCTATGGGATTAATGCTGAATTCAAACCTTGGCCTTGAAAAACGTGAATTTATTTTTGAAATGGTTAGATAGGAAAGTGCGATTTTAGAACTTATTGAGGAATAATCCTGAAGCTTAGATGAGAACAGACTTTGAAGTAAATATTACCTTATTTCATTTTATTTTTCATAGCAACTAAGGGTAGAAAACATTTTAGGGAAATATTATCGATGGTCAGAGTTTCAAAGATGAATAAATTAGTTTTAAAAATTGCTTCACTTCTGAATATGCTAATAGATAGCCATCTATCTGCAAGTTGCTGAACTACCTAAGAATATAATTCTTTCTGATGCAGGAACATCACTAACTTTGATATTCAGAAAGCTCTCAAATAAGAAAAATATTTTAATCCGGCGCTGATGCGACATTACTTCTTGCATAAAAACGTCTAAAAATAAACATTGAATATATTCTGCATTACCGATCTCTACTTCCCTACTCAACAAAAAGTAGTTCACCTTGCCGCTCATAGATACCCCCCTACTGAATAGAATTTCTGGCTGCATTGCTCTCATAAGGATATCCTGTTAGTTTAAAGAAAGTGAAATGTCAACTAGGAAAAAAGCCAAATACTCAAAGTGAAATGTAATGGTCACAAAGACGAGAAACTCAGTCATTACCACAATAATTCATAAAATGAACGGAAATGGTGGATAATGAGAGAAAAACAACTTCTTTCCTGGCTATATGCCACGCAAAACATTTGATTACATCCTCACGAAATCTATGTAATAATTCGTATAGATGAATCAAATCACAAGTGTTTCCTTCCTGAATGCCGAGCTACGCCTAAGTGGTTCAGGAACGCATGACTACCTGCAGGCCGGTTTTGGGCTGTCCCAGTGGGGAATAAATGCTGAGATGCGTTTACGTTAGGTCAGGTTCGCACCAGATAGCAGTCAAGAATGCTATCTGAGACAGACCTGCACCATATGCGTGGATTATAGCCTGGAAAGTAGTTGTTTCCTCCCTTTATCGATAATTTTCGTTCATTTTATGAACTATCGTGGTAATGACTTTGATTTTCTTTTCTTTGTGAAAGTGTTTTTAGCGCTTTTTGATCGTTGATATCTCAAAAATTATAGGTCCTAGCGACCTGCTCCAGGTTTCAGTCGAATCAGGACGGTCTGTTTCACTAGATGTTTTGCTTCTTTGTGATTTATTGGCATCTGAAAATCGTTGTATGACGAAGTTTAGAAATGATTTTTTTTATTTCTATTCTGATTTTCCTGGAAAAATTCGAAATGACTGATTCGGAACTGTAAAAGAAAAATATGTGATCAAATATCCAATTTCTTTCACCATAGCTTGTTGGTGTTTTGATTAATTGGAGAAAGTGAGCTTTTAAGAGCACTTTGATCGTTAATATCTCAAAAACTATAGAGACCTGGGACCTCATTCTCAAATGGTAAGATATTTTGTCGCATGCGATATTTCTACATTGTTGAACAAAAAACGTGAGTGCTCTTTCTTGAATGACGCATTCGAAAATTTTCAATATACAAATTGTAGAGTGGTCTTAAGCAGTCGACATTTTCATGTCGAATGCGAGATTGAATATTTGACTGAATTTTTCAGATGTTACAACGGCCACGAGAGAACGTATATAAGAATGCGTTCAGATTTGTATGGAACAGAAAATGTATAAAAACATTTAGATAAGGAATTAGTGAGAGTCCATTGCACTGCTAGAACCATTTGTGGTACAAGGACATGGGTTTTCTGCATTTTTTTGCCAGATAACATTTTTTACTTACATTAGTAAATAAGTTACGGCTCCGGCAGCTGTTCGTCTTGGTGAGCAAAGGTGTAGGTAAGGGTTATGTAATCACTTTCCATTAAGATAGACCATTTCTTATCAAATGATGGAAATTACTTTTGGGCGCCACTTGGCTCTATAAATTCATTAAATTACTTCTTCACTGAGGGTGGGAGCAATGGAAAGCCAAGAAGCACTACTCAAATTATATAAAAGTTAACAAAAAAACTAATAAAGAAGGATTTATGAACTGCATCGGAATTTTTGTATTTCTGTGAGTACCTGAAGAAATTAAACACCAAATAACTCGACAAACATTTACTTCTAAAAAGAAAATCACCCTCGACAATTAAACTGGGAAATTGTACACCAATGAGATAATCGTAAACTATGTTGCATAAATCAGTACTCACGTGGTAACTACCTAAGATAGATGTTATAAACCATTTACAATAGACTGTGAAAAATCAGTGAATCAGCGACCACTCAGTATACTGTGTGTTGCGTCATATAGGCATGATAATGCGGGTGAATATAATGTCATTTACTGGCGCAAAATCTAGGCAATCACCATTTTGTATAATACGAAACCTAAATAGGAAAATATATAGGTATATGATAATAAAAAAGACGGTATAGCTTTCCTGGTTACGTGCGGAATAAAGATCCCACAGGTGTAGAATCCCTCACTGCTGGGTCCAAGGTGATCTTCTAATAGGCATTAGAGGAGTCTGGTAGGGCTCGCCTGTTCTCGGCGTTCCATATCCAGAATCGAGGAGAAGAGGAAAATAGGGTAGAGCATGTTCCTAACTACCACGTACAACCCTGGAGTATAAAAAAACACCTGTGACCAACTATTCCCGTTAGATGGGTTTTCAACTAACTTACCCCGCAAAGGAGGGTTGACTTGTAGTTAACAGGATTTTAACGTTTTCTCGTACACAGGTCAGCGTTCCAGGCAATCCAGAGATTTGGACAGCACGCCCATGTTCAAAGAGTGAAGACATGTGTCCTAAAATGGCGGCCGATCACACCTCAGGTTCCGGAGACTCGGGCACGATTCGGACACAGAAGTCCAGGAATTTGTGACTTCAGAAATGGCACAATAATTACTTGTTTCAATGGCGAGTTGAACACTTTGAAGATCCCGACAGGGACTTTTTAGATAGCACAAATCCACAATTGTGTTGCGGTACAAAAGTTGATAGGAACTACCAACACTTCAGGTGTCTTCCAAAAAATCAAAAGCCGGTAAAATTGGCGTGTTTTCTTCTTTTATCACCTCGGTGTATGTTCCAGAACCGATCATGACCAATCGGCAAGTTCCCTGAGAAAACGACATCAGCGCCATCTGGGAATTCGAATTTCTCTACCGCCAAAATGAAATACAGAGGGAATAGGAGAAACTGTCACAAATAGAATAATTTGTGAAATAATGTAGACATTCCAAATATCAGGATTTTAATCCCAACCATATAACGACCAATCGGTGACTTCTGATCTCAAATACAACTTTAATTTTTATCATTTCAGTTTTGATCAGCGCTAGGCAACTAACAATACTCTTTATCATCTCTTGGGTTGCCAGCTAATAATTCAGAATACCGTCGGCGATTTTATAAAATAGTGGGAGGCATATTTCTCGATCAGTTCAAAACCAGTTTCTTGGAATCGAATCTATGCGTATCGCGTTCATGTACAGGGTGTTGTGTTGTGCTGATCAGACAGACTTCAGACTTCTTTGATTATTTTATGCTATCCACAATCGCATACCGGTTGTCGGAATTTTGGAATGTTACAAGTGGTTCATTTTATTTTCCATCCATCAAGTTGAGTGTTTCCTTTTGAGATGAAGCACAATAACTCCCTTTTCTTCCACTGCCAATATTATTCCAACATAACATCTATTTGTACTTCTTAATCGAATAGATTTTCTCATTCTAAGATTAAACAGTAGACAATCAAACATGTTCTACAATGTTGCTACTAGAACAAGAATTATGCTGAAATCTCCAATTTATATTATGAGTGATAACTTCAACATGATTTCTCATATATGTGATTAATCATGACTCACTGAGAGACGTGATTAATAAATTGTCAGATTATATGCCCTAGCATAGATCTAAGATCTATGGCACTAGTAATAGTTGTTCATCTAGTTTTGGTCGTCCTTCTGTTATTATTAGTATCCTGCATTGCTTAGATATAATTCAATCTATCTAATCCTCATCTTTGTCTCATGTTATTCATATTATTCTGTCAAAAGTGTAATTAATAATCGGAAACTGATATTTATTTGTAGCATTTCCTGTTATTGGGTGTAACACCTGTTGGAAATAAAAGCCTTTTTTAATAACATTGACATAATCTCCATCAAGGACTTCATCCTTCGTCCATCATAACAACAAAGAAACCGCAACACATTGGCACAGAACACATTCGAGAATCGTTAATTCGACAAAATTTGTCTCATGTGATTTAGAATTCGAAAGCAATGGAGAATACCACACTTACACGTTGTTTCGTTAGACATTCGAGAATAGGCCTCCTGCTCGAACTCTCATAATGTAGAACAAAGATATGTGATGGAAGATGGAATGGCCGAATTTTTTACACAATAAATTGTCGGTGTTTCAATTAATCGATTAACCAAGGGCAAGACTCACTTTTTGATAACCGTGGACCAACACGATCCCCAAAGTAGTCGGTTGCAGCTTCCTTCCCGCGGTAACGGTAACGTAATTCCTTTGGGAGATGTTGTTGATGTGCACGGGAATAGAGGCATCCGTCCCGATGCCGTGTTTCTCCATGAGGGTGATGAGTTCGGACTCGGTGAGGTAGTCGGGCGGAGAGGTTTGGTGTTCGGTCAGCTTGGCCTCCTTGATCGGAACCACCTCGTTCTCGGTCAGGTTGGGCACTATTTCGTTTTTGCCGAGCGCCTTGATATTTGATCCAAATCATTCCATTGAACATCATTTGATCGAAAATCAATTGATCGAAAAATCAAATGATCGAAAATCAATAGGCAAGGACACAAATGCGTGAATTCAATTAAAATGTGCATATAATTGGAATATACATTACATAACACGAATGCATCAATTTTTTGATAAAATATGCTGTAATATTTCAAAAAACAACTTTAAATACCCTACAATTTCAATGAACGTTCAAACATGGCTTTCATTGGCGCCAGTACTGCCGTGATGATCCCTTTTCCTGTGTAGCCAGCTATTTAATTTTAAGGAAATAGCAAGTGAATATTTCTCAATTTAGAATCGATACTACTGTGAAGTGGTGAGATGATTAGATATTGAATGTCATCAATATAGAATAAACTGTATCATATAGGTTGTTTCCCTCATTTACAATTCTCCAAGTTTATAGATGACATTGTTAGTTTATGAGTAGGTTGCAGCACGTTGTAGGTTCGATCAGCAGCGACGAAATTTGGTCTACTACTGAATTATTCGTTTAGAGAATCGGTTGGAACGCCACGCTGTTCATCTCACTGAATATTGGATTATCGATTTTTTCTCGACTACCAATAGACGGTCGACGCGTTATAGAACTTGTGACGTCAGTACCGCTTACGATTTTCCGTCGTGTTCTAACGGGAGCATATCTTTGGGAATTTTTATTTTGAGAAATCTAGAAATGTCTAGTGATTTCACGTATTGCAGGCAAACAGCGTGAACTCCGTTTTCAGCCGTTATAATGTTCGCCGGAAAGTTGAGGAAGGAAAATATCCTTGGAGACTACTTTTCCTAAACAATGAGAGAAAAGAGACTAATGTTTCTGAATAACCGAACATGACTTGGCCTAAATGAACCATCCTTCCGTAAATACAGGAAATACCTGAACTATTGAGCAAGCGGTGTACCAAATGTAGAGGAGCGCTGTTTACAATATGTCGTGTCATGGCGCTGGTATTATCTCACATATAAATGTCCATCTCATATCAATTTTTCAAAAATCACAACCTTATATGAATGACGTCTTAGTTGCGTTTCATTTATCCGATTCCGCCACCAGAATCAGTTTAATGTGTCGTTTTATTTACAACTTTTCCGATTCCGGATGCTACTTTTTATTCCGTCGCACTACAAGTAATGGCGCGAATGACTGTTGACAGGTGTCCAGAATTCATATTGGATTGAAGAAAAACGATTTTTTTTGAAAGTAAAAGACATTCAGAAGACATTTTCATCGTGAGTTTCACTAGTTCATAATTTTTTCAAGTAAGGCAGGTTTAATAATATGTTCGATCCCAGATAAAATTAATTCTCTCGATGTCACAGAAGTTTCTTTAATCACCACAATTACTGCTCCAAATATTAGTTGATTCATTTTCTAGATTCTTAACTCTTGTATTATGATTTTGCAAATATTTGGATCCCTCATATACAAATAAAACCTCTTATGTAAATTCTCCCATGCAAGGTCATGAAATTTCTCGTTTTATTTGTAAAAGTAATTCTGTTTCCACCACCGCTACCAGAATGGAACAAATGAAACGCAACTCTTGTCTCTGAAACTGAAAGTGGCATTAATCTGTCAGTAGTTTGAATATCATATGCAAATATTGGGAATGATTATATGCGATCAAAATGTAGTTCGTTCAATTGATTCTCGATCATCTGATTTTTCGATCAATTGATTTTCGATCAAATGACGTTCGATCAAATGAAGTTCGATCTAATGATTTTGATCATATTTCCGGCAACCTTGATTTGATAATAATAATATACACAGTGTACAGTTTTTTTTTCAAAACTAACTACAACTCTTCTAGTTGTATCCTGAGTATCGTCAAAACATCATTTTACACAGAATGTGGATCAAGTTGGAACTAATTCGGGATATCAAATTGAGTATACTTTTCCTATGAGTGTGCGCCAAGTTGTACTTTTCTGTATACTTTTCTTCTGAAAAGTAACACTTTGCGCACCCGTTAGGAAAACAACTATACCTTGGCAACAAGAACAACACGTCATCCGCAAATTTTGAAAATGAATTGTCATTCTCACAGTATTGAAATTGATATTTGGTTTTGATTGAGTTTGGCCTCCTTGATCGGAACCACCTCGTCCTCGGTCAGGTTGGGCACTATTTCGTTTTCGCCGAGCGCCTTGATGATGAGGTTGTACTAAAACTTTTCTAGTCGAATTTCTTCAGAGAGCGTCAATTGAATTTCAAAATTGTCACTGTATAGTATTTCAAAAAGTATCATTTGCATTTCCGAACAGTCAATTGAATGGGGAATTTTTCTTCAGATTTTAATTTTCATAAAATGAGAACGGAACTTCTCAGTTTTATGTTCACGCAGAATGGCGATCGAATAGTCCAAGTGGTTTATATTTTCAAAATAAAACAATTTATTATTTTCCGGGCGGCAAACTATGACGTTTACATTCTGAATCTAGTATGAATACAGCTGATCATGAAGAATATAGCTAGCGAGAAGCTTATGAATGACGAACGAATAAAAAATTGAAGAAGAATGCAACTTGTCCTCATTCCGTCATTATTCATTATATGATTCGACTCCCGACCGCAGTGGAAGACAGGCGGCGTCTTGTCGGAAGTCTGGTTGATGTTTTGTGATTGTGAGTTTGAACCGCTAAAAGAGCACAATATCTGGTATCACTTTGAGTGAGACATCCAGGGTGCTCGAAAAACAAAACCCTTATTATTTACGCAGGTATCCAGGCCGGATGGGGACGGATTCTCCGTTATAAGGGCTCTGGCTGTATGTTGTATAATCAGAGAGATCATGGAAAATAACGATGATCAAATAATTAAATAAAAACTATAAACTGTAAAAATAGGCTAATGAATAACTGGAGATTTAAAATCGGCACAAGTTAAACTGGTAAAGAAAAACATACATAACCACAAAATCAGATCAGCTCTCGGTGTGCCTGTCAGTATTTTGTGTGTGTAATGCGCTGTTGCAAGAATAAAAAAATCTGCAACATTGCTAGGAAATAGATCTGTTTAATTAAGGAATGAATTCATAAGATACTGACAAGTTATGATTATCATTTTGTAATATAACGGAAGTGAAAAATTATGGATACTATTGCAGAATATCATAATATAAAAAATTGCAGACATATTTCAAAATTTAAATTTGCAATAGAAAACACACGATTTCATTATGAAATATGAATGAAATGAAATGAAAAATTATGAAATAGATAATACTCCACAAAGTGGGATTAAAAAACCTATTATGTTCCATTTCTATATAATATAATTATAATGTATTCATAGAACAATTTCCAGAAATCTTGACATATTGATGATCATGGCAACGTCATACTTACACAGGGAATTACGTCATAGGAATGGTGAAGTAGCCAAGTTCCTCTTTCATTTATTTTTTTCTGAAGTGAGATTTGATCTCAAGAAAAAAAAAAGAAAAAATAGGTATGTACATATTGAATTTTTACAAACTTCACAGTGGGAGTGGACAGTGAAATTCTTTCAAAATGTATGATGTGTTCAATTTAAAACATCACCATTATCATGCAACTTTTATTAAGGTGATATTTGGTGGATCTGTATATTTCAATGAAATCAATATCCTTTTAAAAAATGCCTGTATAAATAAGACATCCTTTAGAAGAGATGTTATCATTTATAGAAATACCTGCCAAGTCATGATGGTAGTAAATCCAGCATCCAGCAGAGTTTTACCAGAAACACTGAAAACTTCCCCATTTATAACCATTGTAGCTGTAGTAGTCAAATATTTACAATCTTTTGCTAGGGTGCCAATGAAATGTCTGGTGATGTAATCATACAATTTCCAGGAATCACCGTCAAGTTCATGTCTGGAGGCAGATTTCATTGGAGTTATAGGAGGATGGTCACCTAAACAGATGCAGTTTCAAAGCAAGTTTTCCTGTGTTTTTGGTGTTGGACTTACCTGCATCATGCCCAGATTTTGGTCTATTTATTCCATTACTCAATATCTCTTTCACTTCATCCCCCCAATCAGGATTATTTTGCTGCTGCCTCAGAGTACCACTATAAAAAAGTATCTCAAAATTGTTTCCCTTCAAGAGGAAATTGTGCAAAATTGAATTCAGCATTCCAAAATGTGATATATTTTCCAGATTTTTTAACCTTATTGAAAACTAGCTGCATGCATTGCTAGGCTACTTACTAAAATACATTTGAGAGAAAGATCCTACCCAAAATAAATATTGAATTTATTTCCAGACATTTTATTGATTATAGCTGTCCAGCCCTGCCTCAGAGGGTTGGTGTACCCATTTAAAAGATATTTGTCAGTTCATATCATTTCTTTTTTTTCAATATTTGTGCTTACCTATAGCTACTATTATATACTTACTTACACTATTCATTGTCTCAGTATCTTTCCTATTCTTTTTGTTGTTTTACATATTAAAAATTTCAACCCAATGGGTCACACCCTTTAGTAGTTGACATACTGAGAGCAGCCCCACCTACTGTGTCCAATTGTATTTTCAAATAATCCAGGAAGCCATCGAAGTACCCATATAAAATTTCAACTCAATAGGATCAGCCTTTTTGAAGTTATGTGAAAAAGATAAGTAGGGAAGGATAATTCTCACTACCCCTTGTCCTATTAAACGTTTTCCCATAGGAATGAAGCATTTTCCTGAGGTAAAAAATAGCCTATATTCATCAGGGATAATGTGGGCTTCTAATGGTGAAAGAATTTTTCAAATCATTCCAGTAGTTTCAGAACCTATTCAATACAAACAAACAAACTGACAAACAAACAAACAAACAAACAAACAAATCTATCCTCTTTATATTATATTAGTATAGATGAAGACTTTTAATGAAATATGATCTCCTTTTACATTGATATTTTCTTTATAGCACTAATATACAAGAGGCCAGGTGATGCTAATACATGTTAAATTGAATATAATCAAATTAGGGATTTGGATTAGAAAACAATTAGGCATTGTTTAGAATATCTAGGTGTAGAGGTTTGAAGTTGCACCTAATTGATTTTTTTAGAGCATTCTGTATAAGATTGGTGAAAAAATAGAGCATTAGTGTAAAGGGTTGATGTTGATGGTGTCAAAATGGCTATGGTAAATAAGTTAGTGAATGAACATTATGAGACAAAACTCAACATTTTCAAAAAGATGCTAATGAGTAAAAGATATATCATGAAATAACTTGTAGAATCCAAATGGTCAATGGAAGGTACATTCTATAGGTCTATTCAAAATAGCAAGAGATGCTATTGAACATATTTTCTTTGAATGGAACATGAGACATTGGGATAATCATGAAATTTTCAGAATATTATTACCAATACTTCTAACAGAAGATTTCAACCAATTACATTGCATGTATGAAAAAGAGTAAAAATACATTCTTGGTAGTTATTCATGGAAAGTTCACTTACAGTAGATCAAAATTCTCAGGATATCTGGTAGTTTCTGTACGAGGATAGCTGATGTATCCTTGAATGTACAATCTTTCAGCAATCTGCATTGCATGATGAGGCCCCATACCCAAACCAGAACTGGCAACTCTCATAAGCTCTACAGTATTCAATGCTGGTGGTCTAACTTTGGATTTTTCTTTTGAAACCACACTCTCCACTCTGAAAAAATTATAAATTGCAATAAGAAAGAGAATAAAAAGAGTACTTATGGATCCCACAAAAACTGTTTTCCATCAATAATAATTTTAGAACAAGTGAAATAATCTTACACACATAGATACTTACATACTCAGAGCTCAGAAATTTCAATAATCAATAAAGATAGATTGTATCAAATGGAATATTGAGTACTATAGAATTTTCAATAAATAGTCACCAGACCAAAAAAAAAGTTTTTGTGGAATATTGGCAGATTACATGGTTATTATCTCTCACTTGGCTTGTTTTTGTTCTTTCACAATTTGCAAAAACAAATTGGCAACTTCTTTATCAAAACTCCTAACTCTCTGCCAATCTAGGGACACATCTTGGTTGTCCTTTGTGGTGATAGTGACCTGAACACACCAATAACTCTCAGGCTTGAAAGTCTGTATAGCATCATGTCTCTGGACACAGAATCCCAAAGTGGGAGTTTGACATGGCCCATAGGAAATGAGGGAGGAATCCAAATCCCCATAGCGCCCTTGGAAAAATTTTGTTTGGAACCTTGTGAATGCACACCCTATACGAAGATCAAGTTCTTGCCTTGCATCTACACTACGTGCCTCATTCTCATTAGGATGACCTAGAAAATTAATTATGTAGTCCTGATGATTAATATTATGGTACTTATACCTAAGGAGTTGAAAGCAGCTTTGATATCTTTCTCAGTAATAGCAGAGAATTTTGCCCTGTAGGTAACACTGTCAGAGAAAACATTTCCTATTATGCTACTAGCAACAGCTCCCATAACCTCAAAGCAAATATTTTCGCCTTCCTTGTCACAATCTAGCCACAGCACCAGGTTATCAGCTCCTTTGGCTTCTTGAGCAAGGAAATAGGGCATTTTCAGCTTGGGCATGGCTTCCTTCTTCTCTATTTGACAAGAAAATAATTCGACGGGATCGACTCTGTCCCAGTTGTTGTATTTGCTGATGAAATCAACACCCAGGACATGACCACAGACTGAGGTCATTTTGAATCGAGCTGGGACTGTGAAAAAGGTGCCTTGCCATTCGTGTACTGAACAGGCTCCATTGAAACCTGGAATTATCAGAAACATTGGATTTGCGACTCCTGAGGGGGGATTTGTAGATGATGTACCTTTTCTGCTAGTATTTTTGCCGTTACTCAAAATTGTTGCTAGCGAGGCCGCTAGAGATGGCTTCTCAGCCACCATAAAAACAGTCTTCATAGTTAACTAGTTTAGGACTCTAGATTGACTTCATGGAGAGACCTATTTCGAATAAAATCTTCTAGGAAACGAAATTACACATAACCAAAAAAAAGATCATATAACCTCAAAATTTCCGAGTGTCACTACTGTCACTTCTTTTTTATTGAACTTTGGCAGGTGATAGTTGTTGGGACGAAAGGACAAAACAACATGATGCCTTTGAAAATTAATTTTCTTAGTTTTCTTTTTAATTTTCTTCACTTCACATCCTCTTCTCATAAGGCTCTAGGGTAAGGGTAGGCATCTTACATAATGGTTACCATAAAAACCCTCCTGGATAAAAGTTGTGGTTTTTTTCTACACCAATGAAAAATAGCAGAATTATTACAAATTGAATAATAATTATGGCTTCAATCGTAGCTTCAGCTTCCAGCTAAGGCAGTCGATTTACTTTATTGCTGCCATGTGAAACATATATTATATTTTTTATATGTTATAAAACCAACTGGTACCGTTTGTCCTCACTACACATAGGTATATTGAAATACCTAATATTATATACTCATATTTTTATTTTATAGAAACGAGAGAAAATCCCTAAAAACCTGAAATAGGTAAATGGTTTTGAAACCAATTTTGTGTCATTTTTTTATTGAAAACTCCATGTCAGTGTCAATAGGCCTTTTCATTTCGATGACAAATGACTATCTCTGTTTACATCTCGCATACAACGGGCGGCCATTTTCACCGAAACACTTTCAACATTATTTGACAGAACATTAATAGTACCCGCCATATTCGAAATGGCTAATCAGCATTTTGTTTTGGAACTATAGCCAATGAGACTTCACCGTCGCATTATCCAATGAATTGTTGGATCTAAAAACGTGCGCATGCGTCTTAAAAATATATTTAAATGAAAAGGCCTATTTGTAATGTTGCATAAACTTTTCATGCCTAGGCAGAGTAAGTACACCTTTGCTTTGCTGCCTCAGTGTCATAGAAGAGATAGTACTTCCTATGCTGTTTGGAGAAAAAGTAATTTTTCTAGCGATCTTCATTCAAGATAAATGTCTCTAATTAAGAGAACAAACTCAAAGTCTCGCTCCAAGTAAATTATAATCAAATCATATATGCTACATGTTTCGACTCCTAGGAGTCATCATCAGGCTGAAATACAACACTTATAAATAAAAGAAGTTCCATCACTATTGGAAAATGGGTGACATACCTTGCTAGGTAGGAGGAGAAAAGAAACTATAAAATTGACAACATAGTTCATAAGGGTTTTGAGCCCAAAATAATTTTAAAAAACATTTTTGAATTTTGGGTTTTTGAACCCCCAAATAAACATTTTTCCTAAGATAAATGTCTCTGTGATTAAAATATTTCCACACTCTACCTGGAACACCTCATGCATTATAGTAACACAAAACAGACTCATAGTGCTTGCACAGGATTATAGCAAGAGGGAATACAATAATAATTGATGCATACCAATATAATATATTGTGCAACAATGCGCCATGTATTCAAAATGGCGGCAGAATCACGATTTGTATACATTTTTACTCTTGTGATAGAAATGAGACAGCAGAGATTTTCCATAAATTTCTTCTATTGAAAACAAGGTAGATTTTACATTTTGGTATCAAAAAGTATAAAAATAAGGATAAGCATTGGTCAGAAATATGGCAAAATAACAAATAATCAATCCTAAATGCTAGCATACTTAAATCCTAACTCTAAAAAATAAATTATAAACTGTACAAAAAAATTGCATCACTTACATTTTTCATAAAATATGTAGGTAGTCTTGATATATTAATAAAATGCATTTTTGAAAATGCCAATATTCAATACATTACTAAATTTCTAAAATTCTTCTGGGAAAAGTGCGTCACAGATAAAATTGAAAACTATTGAAAAAACTCTTAAAGGAGTAATGAGAGAAAATTTTACTATTAAATCAAATATATATGGCACATTTGCAGGCACTTATTCAGAGAGGTAAACGGCGTTAAAAAAATACATGCATCTAACCTCAACTTCCTAGATATAAAAAAACTGAAACCACTGGAAATTCCAGTCAACAACATTAATCATCTTGAAGATTTCATAGTGTGTACCAAATGTTTCCAAGATATTTCAAATAAATCAAGAAAATTGATCCCATGACATTTCAAGATACTCCTTTGGGCATTTTATGACATTCATGCTCAATTTCCAGGCCTGTATACCAAGAAATTCCATATTTTAAAAAATTACAGAGAATTTCAGGAAATTTCTGGGAATTTCAGGAAATTCCAATGCATTTCCATAAATTCCATGATGGTTGAAATAAATACTGGAAAATCAAAGAAACTCAAGTTGTTTATACTAAGTCATTCAGACAGGTAGCCCTAGAAACTACAGTTTACCCCTCTATGATTTTTGTAGAAAGTGAGAAAAAGATGATCAATAAAAGTTGCAGAAAAAAGTAGAATTACTGAAAGACGCACTTCCCAAAAATCTAAGATCCAACATTCAGAGAAAAAAAAAAAGATAATAAAACCGGCACATTTGTTAAGTCCTACTCGAACTGGGCACACCTAGAGTTCCCGAAAGTACTTGACATTTTTGTCAAAATGAAGGTATCAAGCACAGGGTGTGCCTCTTAAAATTAAACCCCCTTCTAACCTCTTTTGTTTTCAGTTACATGAAAAAGGCAAGTTTTTTTTTCAGAACACCCTATACATTTCATGACATGTTGATAGTCTTCTTTTCTCACTGTATTCAAAAATCTAAATAAGTTGTATATTGGGATGAAAATTTGTTGAGATGAATTATCAAAGTTAAGGTGACATGAAGTGGTATTTTGGAAACTTACATTATTAATCACTCATCTCAATTTTTCCTCCAAAAGTAATGCAGCTTATCAATATTTTTGAATTGAGAAAAAAGGCTCTATTGACATGTCAAAAAATGCATAGGGTGTTCTATAAAAAAATCAGAGTTAATACCCTATACAGAGTGATCCACGGTGGATGGCCTATTAGAAGTATCTAGAGAACGGAACGACAGAACATTCTGAAAATTGGAATGCTTTGATAATTGAACATTCTCTATCCGTCTGAAATATTTTCATCGATACAGTGTTGCCACTTCTAACAACAAGCAACTTCGTTATTTCAAATGAAGCACCCTGTATTTCATTGCATTTTTAGATCCTTCCTAGAGAGCTGATTTCATCAATGCATCACACTTGGGGTCTAGCAGGAATGATTACAGAGATATGGGGTGTTCAAAATCGAGATTTTTCAATTTTAGGATTTTTTTGTGTCAAATCTATTCATTATCGATCAATACGGCTTACATGTCTATATCTTAACTCTCGATTCACTATCTACTGACATTTAATTGGAACAGATACAGGGTGATCAGAATTCTGAATCTTGAAGCACCCTGTATTTTTTCCAATTAAATTTCAGTAGATAGTGAATCAAAAGTTAAGATAGGGACATGTAAGCCGTTTTGATCGATTATGAATAGTTTCGACACAAAAAAATCCTAAAATTGAAAATTCTCCGATTTCTCCGACCCAATATCTCTGTAATCATTCCTGCTAGACCCCAAGTTTGATACATTGATGAAATCAGCTCTTTAGAAAGAATCTAAAAATGCAATAAAATACAGAGTGTTCCATTTGAAATAACAAAGTTGCTAGTTGTTTCTGATAGAAGTGGCAACATTGTATCATTGAAAATTTTAGACGGATAGAGAATGTTCAATATCAAAGCATTCCAATTTTTAGAATGTTTTGTCTTTTAGTTCTCCAGATACTTCTAATAGGCCATCCACCGTGGATCACCCTGTATATCAAACAACAACATACAATGAAACGTTAGATCGTTTCAAACAACACAAGGGATTTGAGAGAGGGATCAATTTTAAAGGTACATCAAAAGGAACTCTAGGCACAACTACTCAGGAAGCAGTCTCAATATAAAATTGCTTGATAAAAAAAACCTAACCTAACCTAAAAATCGATCGGCTTATCATTAACCTTCAAAGTGGACACGTGCATGTACTTTTGCGACTTGTACTTATCCTGGATGGCGTGTTGGGGGTAAGTGGGGGCGATCGAGAGCATCTGTAGGAGGAACTCGATCGGTTGCCTCAATTGAGCAAGCTCGTAGCCCGTCGTTGCCACGAGCTGCTCCTGCCAAATTGCCTCCTCCTTTTCCTCCTGGAGGGTGTGTCTGGCGATAGCTATTGAGGAAGCGGCGATCGCGGAGGGCAGAAACTCGAGGTAGGCGTCTCCGTTTAATAGCGCCAATTCGCACTGGTACTGAAATCAATGTGGATGGTGGATTTTGTTAATATTTACTAGGGTCCCTTGATGTAAATTGACGTATTTGTCATCTTAACAGGGTACGGACAGAGCCTTGTCTCCTCTCACTCTAAAGTGTTTGTGAAACAGTTATATAGTTCCATCTTTGTTCATTTCTGGGGATAAACCTGTACCCTGCGTGCGTTGCTAATTTGCTATGCATCTTACTAAAATAAATTTGAGGGAAAGACAGTACACAAATATTGAATTCATTCCGAGTCATTTTATTGATTATAGGTTACACGGAAAACGTTGTTTTGCTACGTACATTATTTCACAAAAACATTTTTTCAGTTGAATATTTCACTACTTCTGTTTAGTTAAGCTTGTTTTCATAGTTTTTCAAACTACTATTCATTTTCTACTACTTTTCAGTTCGATAATCTATCTCTCATTTAGTTTTCTAAACTACTATTTATTTTATACTTCTTTTCAGTATGACTATCGAAACACTATTTATTACATACCTCGCCAACTTGAATTTTCTAATTATGGCGGAGGAATCATAATCTCCGACCCCGAAAACTCCCGGATACCCACTTTGAACAGAATTGGATAATAATTACGAAAGTTGTCCGCCATATTGGATCCGCCAACACGAATTTTCGAATTTTGAGGAAAGAATCATGATCTCCGACCCCGAAAAGCCCCATATACCAATTTTGAATAGAATTGGATTAGAATAAAGAAAACTCGTCCGCCATATAGAATCCGCCGTCATGAACTTCATAATTTTGACAAAAGAATCATGATCTCCGACCCCGAAAACCCCCAGACACAATTTTTTTATAGAATCGTATCATAATTACAAAACTCGTCCGTCATGGGATCCGCCATCTTGAGTTTCTCAATTTTGATGAAAGAATCATAATCTTGAACCCCAAGAACCCCCAGATATCAATTTTGAATAGAATCGGGTCATAATTACAAAACTCGACCGCAATATAGTATCAGCCATCTTGAATTTCAAGATTTTGACGGAAGAATCATGATTTTCGACTCCGAAAACCCCGAGATTCCAATTTTGGATAGAATAAGATTATAATTACAAAACTTTTTCGCCACATTGGACCCGCCATCTTGATTTTCCGGATTTTGATGATAGGATCATTATCTCCGAACCCAAAATCTCCCAGATACAAATTTTGAATGGAATAGGATCATAGTTACAAAACTCGTCCGCCATATTGGATCTACCATCTTGGATTTCCAAATTTTGATGAGAGAATCATGATCTCCGACCCCGAAAACCCCCATACACAAATTTTGAATAGAATCGGATCATAATTACAAAACTCGTCCGACATATTAGATCCGTCATCTTGAATTTCCCAATTTTGACGAAGGAATCAAAATCTCGGACCCCGAAAACCACCAGATACCAAATTTAAATAGAATCGGATCATAATTACAAAACTCGTCCGCCATATTGGATCCGCCATCTCGAATTTCGACGAAAAAATAATTATCTCGGACCCCGAAAACCTCCAGACACAAATTTTGAATATAATAGGATCATATGAATACAAAACAAGTCCGCCATTTTGGATCCGCCATCTTGAAATCTCCCAACACCCTATTTCTCTGTAATCATTCTTGCTAGACCCCAAGTGTGATGCATTGATGAAATCAGCTCACAAAGGAGAATGCGAAAATGCAATGAAATACAGGGTGTCCCATTAGATAAAGTATAAGTTTGATACGCCACGCATTTCTGACTCACATAAAGCGAAATAATTTGGAAATGTGCTGCTCATGATCCTAGATCATCTCTGAAATTTTTGTTCATCTATCTCAAACAGAAAAGCCGTTATCTCACTTTGCCACACTAATGACTCACCCTGAATAAGATTGGTCTGATGAATGCCTGCTCACATGTTATTAGTTATTCAACTAAATGAATAATTCAAATCAATGAAATATTCATTGATTTTCATAATAGTGCATTACTTGATCAAGTCTACTTTATCATACTGTCTATACAGGGTGATTAATTAAGAATGGGAAATCTCTGAACTACAGATAGCAAACACCAAAATATGAAGATTTAAAATCTTTCTTGACTGTGGTTTGGCGTTGTTAGTGATTGTAATTATTGATTACTGTTTTTCTTCCTCTCTCAAATTATTAAAATGTTATAAGTGAAACATAAATCTGTTCAAGAGAAAAAAAAAGCAAAAAACCATTAGAGCTAGACAATTTGAAAAATAAGTTACAAATTCATATTCCTCATGTCAGAAAACCTGAAACAACAAGATTTCATGTTCATGCTGTTAAAATATGCAAAATTATTGAGAAATTTCAAAATAAAAACTCCCCCTAGAACACCCTGTATCTCCTAAACCAGCAATAATATCATCAGGCATGTTAAGTTTAATTCCAATATTTAAGTGTTTACTATCCGGTTATTTAGAGATTTCCCATTATCAACGAATCACCCTGTATAGATAGTGAAATCCCATCAAATCCACTTAAACATGAAATAATATACTGGGTGCCTTCATTCAAATAAGAAAGTCCAGGAACACTTTGGTATCATATCATGTTACAGGGTAGTCCAAAATTGTCTTTCAATTTTTCTGGGGCTGATAGTATGTACATCCAAAAAAAAAGTTTATTATTTTCTATAAACTCAAAAAATAAATAATAAGGAAGATACACCCCTCAATAGTGGCATAATAAATATAAGTTTTCCTGCAATATCTTCTGGACAGCCCTAGGATATCAAATTCATATTTCAACAGATAAGTACTTTTTTCATTAAACAGTCAAACTCAAATTGAACATTTTGTGCAGAGCAAAAAGAAAATAAGTTGACTACTGAAAAAAACCACCTGGTATAATGATAAATATAAAAATAATGCATGCTCTTTATTGATGAAATTATGGTAAATGATATTCTTCAGAATCAATAAAATAGGTCATGAAAAAATCTGTCATTTTCTAAATTGAGGTATGGAAAATTATTGTGGGGAATCTCTACAAAGGTTTCCCATAGCACAAAAAAAGATCATCCGTTGCATAGCAGGAGTACCTTACTATCATTCATGCAAAAAATTATTTTCAGAGTTAGGTATTTTAATTTTAACATTGCCATCTCTATACATTTTTGAGGCATGCCTTTATGTCTTCCAAAATAAAAACTCATTCACTCTTAATGATGGGATACATGATCACAATACAAGAAATAAAAAAGATGTACTAAATCAGTGAAATTAATGTAATAATAGTCATGTATTCAAAATATTATTGTAACAGTTCTTGAAAAATGTTATCATTAGGTATTTTATTATCTCAATGAAAAGATCTGATTTTTATTCAACTTGAACAGCAGCTGCATTCTTCTACCATATTTTACTAAAAAATGTATATGAAGGAAATTCAAAACTCTTCTAAGGAATGTTTTTATTGCATTTTATCAATTGTATACCTCTATCTCATATCTCTATTGTATACCTCTATTGCATGTTAGTTTTAGTGTTTCATTGTATAGTGTATATATATGTGAAGACTTTCAAAGCACTTTACAAATGTCAATTAAGGAAGAATAAAGATAAACTAAACTAAACTAAGATTATAAAATTGTAGTAATCATAATTTTAAATTTTTTGACATTCTTCCATCAAGAATATGAAGAAAACACCTTCTTATCTATTTTTCAATGAAATTAAAGTATCAACTAATCCAAGTTTGAGAAAACAAAAACTAGAGTAATCAAGTCAAGGCAAAACAGTAACTTTCAGATGATTATTTTCAACTTACCATAGCATAGTACATGGTCTTCTCATTCAATTTATTGCTCACACAAATGGCTGTGACAAAAGTTAATGGAGTAGGAATTGACAAATCAAAACCAAGAACCTTAAGGATAAGATGCTCCATTCTGATGACTTGTCTCTTGTTGTAAGTATCATCTGTTATATAAACAAACTCTGTAATATCTGGTGGATAGATTTCCTCATATTTCCTGAAAAATACAAAGGCATGAATATCAATCTAGTGCTCTGTTTATTTTGGTGTGATTGTATTATTTGTGAAAGTAGAATAGGAACAATAAAAAACCAAATGTTCTTCAGAAGATGAACATTGCAAAAAGTGGTTTCATTCACTGTTGCTATGAAATATACCCAATTTGCCTTTTCAAAATTCATGAAGAATAAAGGAAAACAAGCTTGAACACTGATAAGAGGAGGACTGATAGTAATAATTTCAAAAACCAATACAACACCATACAACGAAGAGACTTCATTGATGACTTACGATGCAAGAAACATTGCAGCTGTCCCAACCAATTGCAGCTTAGCTCTAACAACAGACATATAGCTCAAGAATCTATCAATGAAATTGACAGCCAGAAACAGTGTTTCATTGTGGAGTTTATACTCTTCAGCCACCTCAACAAGCCAATCAACAAGAATAGTCCTCATATTTGAGGTAACATCTGGCTGTTTCTTCATATAACCAGGCTTTGGTCTGTGGTGCAGCTCATGTTCTCTTAGGTACTTGTAGATATCAGACCTGTACTCTTCCATCTCAAAGAAGATGTCTTTGGTGCTCTTATTTCCTCTGAGCAGCACATCTTCTGCTTTGGATATATTTTCACCATAAAATTTCTCAATGCTCATGGGAATGGGTACTGGAAGAACATCTGCCAGTTCCTTTCTGGGATGGAAGATACCTTTGGCTTCATCTTCAGCTCTTTTCTTCCTTTCCAGCTCAGCCACCTCAGTCTTTGTGTAGAATCTATCTTCAGCAGTGCCTTTGTACACCTGAATGAGGCCTGTGTGTTTGATTCTACTTTTGAGCTTCTCTTCAATTCTTGCCATTCGCTCTTCATAGGCCTGATCTTCATAGACTTTGAAGGCTTCAAATTGAGCACATGGCACAATGGGGTTGACCAAATTTTTTCGATTTTCTTTGAGACACTCATCGTTTTCGTCGTTCACGGAACTATTTTCAAGATTATTTGAGTTATTTTCGATTTTTTTCAAAATCTTCTCACTGGGTTTCAAAATGGCGTTATTTGTGTTGGAAATTCCCAAGGGCTGAAAGACATAAAATTCACTCCATGAATCATTTCAATATAGAGAATTGACTCAATTTACCTGTTTTGTTTTAGCGGCCACATTGATGTTGGATCGTTGACCTAATGCAGTCCTTTTTTGTTGGGCGGCCATGGCGTTATGCTTTTGTATATCGGGTAAACGATTCTCTTTATTTTCATTCCTAATTGTTGCCATTTTCAAATAAATTGACCGTTCTTGATTCTTGAATGAAGTGATAATATGCGGCTGGGCCAAACGCGATACTTCACCCGAAAGCACCGATGGAAGACTTCAACGGTCACTACAAAAATTACAAGAACGTTGGGCACAAGCATGCAGATGCAAGGCAAGATTATTGGATTATTGCGGGAAAGAACAGCTGAGGCGGTTGAAGGAAGTTTTCATTATGTAAATTTCAACCAATAAGGACCAACTGTTATGTCACGTGATAGTAAAAAAGTACACAAAACAAATGTCAACATGTGTCAACTATTCGAATTTGAAATAAGAATAATTCAGGTGACAACAATCATCCACTATGCAACATGAGGAAATTCATCAACTAATTTCACGATAATTATAAACGAATGAGCCGATTCAAACAAATTTTATCACTTTTACTTTTCTTTCTTGTTTATTTATTTGATCTTTGAAATCATGCACATCAACACATTTTCACAATCAGTGTCATTGTCAAACGTCAATCGTCATTCGTCATTTCGTCGCCACTCAAACTCAACATCAATCCACGAATCCACGATCAATCAATGTTATGGTTAGTTTGAAATTTTGAAATTCGAATTCGGGAAATTTTAAATTTACATGGTTCCTCTATCTATACGGTAATGGCTGAACAGTATAAGTAAGTATTCCAGTTTTCTGACACAATTTGTTGTCCGAATCTACAAAACCATGCTTTCATCATAAAATCACACATTACCACTTCTTATTAATATTTCTTTGTGGTTTTCAGATCTTTGCATCCAATTAAATACTATAGGGATTACTTTTCTCACCAAATTCGCCCTGATGGAAGAGAATTTAACAAATTCAGACCAATTGTACTCAATGTTGCTTCAATTGACACTGCTGATGGGTCTGCAATAGCAAAAGTTGGCAAAACCACTGTAGTATGTGGAATCAAAGCAGTAAGTGACCCAATTTTTTGTATATTATTATCTGCTGATGATTAAAAATATTTAACATAATATGACCTTCCTTAACCCCAAATTATTGTATTTTTTAGGAGCTATGTAAACCAAAGGCAGATTGTCCAAATGAAGGCTTCATAGTACCCAATCTGGAATTACCTCCTCTTTGTTCCCCAAAATTTCGACCTGGACCTCCCAGTGATCAAGCACAAGTCTTAACTCAACTCATAGCTGATATTATTGAAAACTCAAAATGCATTGATTTGTCAGATCTTTGTATTTTTCCTGATAAACTGGCATGGTGTCTTTTTGTTGATTTCATCTGCTTGGATTTTGATGGGGCTGTAGTTGATGCTTCAATTGTTGCCCTAATGGGAGCCCTAAGGACTGGTAGATATAAATATGAAAGTTAATTGGGTTTCTGAAACCATAAGTTAATTGTTTATTACAGCTACTCTGCCTTTTGTGGCATATGATCCTGCTTTAGACAATATTCAAGTAAACTTAGATGAAAAGAAAAAGCTCAATATCCATAATACACCTGTATCAACAACATTTGCAGTATTTGATGAGTAAGAATTGATATTTTTTTGTATATGGATGTTGCTACACAAATCATTGTTTTAGCAAAATTATATTGGCTGATCCAACTGTTGAAGAAGAAAATTTATGCACAGGTATCCTTACTATAGTTGTGAAAGATTCTGAACTTTGTTGTATCCATAAACCTGGTGGTAGTGCCCTTAGTGAAGAAGAATTATTGAAATGTATAGATGATTCCAAAGAAAGAATGATTCTAGTTAAAAACCTCATTGAACAAACCATAAAAGATGTTTAAGTGATTTAATCTAGGTGTTTATAGAATTTACCTATATCTCTTTGTTTTTATATCATTTTTGAGATACATATAATTGTTGTTTCCCAATTATTAATGGCTCTCATGGTTTTCAATTTCAATCTTTTTAACCTCATTATGTATAGTATACTTTCCTAATTTCCCTAAAAGAAGACAAAATTGAGTGAAGTAAAGTTTATTAGAAGTACTCATTAACAATAGGTATAGGAATGCATAATTTCACAAATAAATCATGAAATGAAAATACTTTTGAAAATACAGTCTCATAAGTTACTATTACTACCAAAACTATGCTAACAGTAAGTATATAGGTACCAAAATGAAAAACCAGTTATTTCCTCCCTCTTCTATTCATGTCTTGGGTCCAGTCTTCTCCTGATCTTCCTCCATTTTCTCTACCTTCTGCTTAGCAGGCTCCCCTGTCTGGACAACTGGTATAGCTTTGTGACCGATCTCCTTATCTTGAATCCTGGGAGCAGTAATACTCAGAACCCCATCACTAGACAACTTGGACTCAATGCTGTTCATGTCGGTGTTTTCCGGAAGCACATACCTCCTCACGAAATGTCTGAAAATCTGTCCATGCTCATCCTGCTTTTCTTCGTGCTTACCCTCAATCGTGATAGTGCGATCCCCTGTGACTTTCACCGTTATTTCCTCCGGTTTGAACTGCTGAACGTCCAAGTTGGCTTGGAATTTGTCTTTGTCGAAGGAAACGGTGGATCCGGAATCATGTTCTGAGGCGGCGGATCTCCAGTTGCGGACGTATCCCGCAGGACATCTCCTCAACCATCTCTGCAACGCCAAGGGTTGCAGGAAGTCCTCGGGGTCCAGAGCTAGCCCGAAGTGTTGGTCGTGGATTCTGGAAGGCCTCAAGGAGTGAGAGAAATCGTCAAACAACAAAGGCAGCAGAGACATTTTTGTAACTTTTTTATCAACGCACTTTGAGCTTCGAAACAACTTTGACTATTTTGGAATTCAAACTGATGTGGAAGGCGGGTGCCGGCTGCTTTTATAGTACGTCGGTTTTCATTCTAGATGGCTCTGGATGTGGCGGTCGTTGGGCGATGGATCTAGCAAGATCCCACATGTAAACAATCTGCGTTCTAGAATCTTGGGTTCATCGGATATGCACTTAAGAAACCACAGAATTTTGTTCCAGCTCATTTTGTTCACTTTAGTTCATAAAGAGACCTGTCTTATTGAAACATGTATGATCTTGAATATTTGTAGAATCTAGTTTTTCCATTTAAATCCTATTTGACCATAATAACCTCTGTTTAATATTCGTAAGTCATAATTATTCTATAAAAAAAAGTGTTCAATCAACTGCTTCATTCTTGAGATACAGGATGTTGACGTTGGAGGGATTAACTAAATTTCAGAATGAAACTAACTGAGATTATCGGGTAGGTCTCTCAATCGGTGTTTCTTGAAACCACCTAGAATAAAATTTGTAGTAATATCGAATTTGTATTGTGAAAACAAAGCGAGATACAGATGTGACACAAGGTCGCAAGGAAGAAAAATGAGTTACATTTTCAATTTTTATAAAATATGAAAAGGAAATCATCCACTGACATTCTCCTTATAGGTAGGTAGGTACCAATTTAGAACCTATCGATTTTAGACAAATCTTACTTCATTCAATTATGTGATTTGTAAATAGAAGTATGGATTGTTCAGTGAACTGTAACCTCTAGGGTTGAGTCACAATAAACCTATCTGGGGTGGGAGCATCCCGCGATGCCCAATTCCCACGATACCCAATTCCCACGATGCCCAATTATTCCTCTGGAGTCGTATATAGAGAGGTATATACTGGCACAGAGATGAGTTACCCACTTTGCCCCACTTTCATGAAACCTAACTTCACCATCTCGGAAACGAAGCAAGTTCAATTGTTCAATCATGATTTTTTTAAATAAAATATGACAAGGACTCATCCCCTGACATTCTTCGTAGGTAGGTACCTACTACGACATCCTTTGTAACTATATTAAGAATTAGGTAGATCATGGTAGATTAACCTCATCTATTCCGTAGTCGTTTTGACACTGATATGTAGATTTGTAGTGTGAACTAATATGGATTGGAATCGCCCTGTACTTCGTATATTTGGCACATAGGTCTGATTCATCCACTTACGCAAACGGAAGATGAGTAGTGGAGTGACGATATGTTAGTCAGTCAGTAAAAGAGAGTTGTTTGATACGGTTACTTGTATTATATTTTTGGTGTTGGGAAATATACCTAGTGATTTTGGACCTAAAGACAATTTCATTGAGTGAACCTTTTACAGTAGATAGATCTACCATATCTAACAAACATGGATTAATCGTTGGTAATCTCCCGATATTCCGCAATCACTAAGTATGTAAGCGGTACCTATAATAAAGGAATAGTGAATACCTATACCTAATAGTTTGAGAATCTTCCTTATTTTTGTCCTCTTTCTATTGCCATTAGTAGTTATTTTCGATAATAATTTTCGCTCAAAATTTCCTCATATTTCACATAATAAAAACAGATGCTGAATAACAGACTAAGGCAAATCTTATATCCGATGGACCACTTCTAGAATATCATCGATTTTGCCAGTAAACAATTCATTCGTTATTGCGCGAGGTTAGTGTCGCACTAACAGGCGACGTTGCCAGCTTTAATTACGCATTTATTTTATCATGAAAACTGATAACAGGATGTTATTGCAAACAGGCGTCAGGCAGGTACCAGATATAATAATAATTATTATTACCGAAAGAAAATTAAAATAATATGAAAAATAGCTGCGTATGTTTCGATAATGATGTACATAAGGCGTTGAGTTGTGAACATCAAAAACAAATATTCGACTTATTTCATTCAGTTCATTTTAGAGAAAAACTTTCAAACGAACAAAATTTCGAGATATTATGATGAATCCTGTGTAGTACCTACCTGAGAATTATTAAATCGGTAGCATGTAATAAATCATCTGTGCAGAAAAAGACGATTGAGTGGCTATATTTATGGAAATTCTCGAAATTCTGAAGGGCCTCCATGTAGAGAAATGATCACCTGTTAAATTCGATGGAACTCTATTTTTTAGAGGAACTAACGAAAAGTCAAATTCGACTCCAAAATGCAATGAATACTTTTATGGTTAGCTTTTTTCTTCAAGTGAGCTAGGTCTTTATTCATCGATTGGCAAAGTCTCAATTATTGATATTCAAACCTGGGACATCTTGTAAATACATACCTACATATACGTATATGATGATGTTGATAAACCGCCCTAAATCCAAAATATTGTTCTTTGGTTTTCGGATTGATTTCGAATACTGTATAGATATATTATAAGCGTAGTTTTCGAATGCTCTTTTTCTATAGGTTCATATTATTCGAAGATTTATTTGCCTAAATATACAGCAAAACCACAGTTTGAGAAATAAATACTATCCTCAAATAATTGTGCTGCAACGATATGACAAAACCTCAAGAATACCTCTATATACCTATAGGCCCCATATCACAGATTTCCAGATGACTCTTTTTATCTGTTCTATAGATCATTTTTTGCTTCAGAGAACGGAGAACACTGAACGTGAACAGGTAGTTAACGCTTGTTTTTAGATATTTTATTTTGTCAGTATTTGCCAGAAAGGAGGACTCAACTGGAGCGTGGACTAAAGTTAGCATTGATTTTTCTTTGAAAAACACAATTTCGTGTATTCCGAGGTGAATTCAATTAATATTCAATCAAACTCTTTTCGATAGTTTTTAAACGGCTCAAAGAAAGAGAATGAATCTCAATTGAATAATAGTTCTTTGTTTCACTATGCAGAAACGGACAACATTTAATACCGCGGCTGACATATATCGAACCAGCCATGGCATCTAATTTGCTTTTCTGCCGTGTGAAACATATAATTTTTTCCCCAAATTTGTTTCGATTTCACGCAAGTCCAAATAATCCATCACTTATTTTTGCTCATCCAATGATCATTGTCAATTTATTTGATTATCAGTTTGATTCAAAATTATTACTTGAGACTTAGAATATTGCATAGCATCTAACTTTCTCTGCCAAGGCAGAGAAAGTACAGAATTGCTTCCTGTTAAGTTATAGAAAAACCACTTTCTATTATGCCCTTTGGAGAAAAACATTTTTTTGTGCCTATATTTTTACTCTGCTCCTCTGCTCAATACTCGTCATATTGATACATTATGGAATTAAATATCCAACTTGAGTATTCATTTACGTGTTATCACAACATATTTTTCTTATAGGGAATGAAAACTCCGCAAAATATCTAATAGCTACCAACGAAACGTTGGTAACGGCAACGCTGTACGACGGTCTAGACAGTTCCTTGCTGGAAAGTTCTCTCTGCATCGATCAGCTGTGAATCGATTCCATTACATTCGAGATCCGATTCGAGAATTCTCCGGAATTTTCCATTGCGTTATAAAGCCGGCCGGCGAACGAAAACAAAACATTCCGTCATCCCGATCCGAACTGTCAACATTCCGTTATTGTCGTAGTCTGATCATAGTGAAACTAGTGAATCAAAGGTGAATCTAAGTGAAGTATAAAAAAAAATATTGCTGAATCTAGTATCAGTGACCAGTGATCATTGAATAGAATCATGAGTCTGTACCCCTTTTTCGAATTGGAGAATTACCTCTACCCTCACAGCCATCATGCCAGGTCGTATTCTCCGCACCAACGTCCTAGCCGCTTGCTGGACCAGCACTTCGGTCTGGGGCTGAGTCCACAAGAGTTTCCTTCGCTAGAAGCCATGGTGGCGATCCCCAGCCAGAGGTGCCCCAGAAACTACCTGAGACCGTGGAGGGCAGAGGCTTCCAAACGAGACTCCGGTTCAGTAGTCGCTTTCGACAAGGACAAGTTCCAAGTCAACTTGGATGTGCAGCAATTCAAACCGGAGGAGATCACCGTCAAACTAACAGGGGAAAACACGGTTACCATCGAGGGAAAACATGAGGAAACAGAGGATGAACATGGCTTCATTTCCAGGCATTTTGTAAGAAGATATGTGCTGCCTAAGAACTGCGATGTCGGCCAGTTGCAGTCGAAGCTTTCCAGTGATGGGGTGCTCACTATTTCAGCGCCTACTGTTAATCAGAGCATTGAGCACAAGGAGATTCCTATTCAGCAGACTGGACAGCCTGTCAGACGGGCTGTGGAGAAGAAGACTGATGAACAGAAGACTGCTGAAAAGATTGCTGAGGACTGAGTCAACAAATCCTGATGTTGAATAATGATAATAATAATAATATAATCACTGTCTCCTGTATGGCATTTATGTGTAGCCTGTATTCTTAGAATAACTTCTCGTTTTTTTATGTTTAGGATTTTTTGTCAATTTGTTGTAGGTATTAGTGGAAATAAAGTTTCGTTTTGTTTTTTTTATTCTGACATTGACTTTTATTTGTTTACAATTATTGCAGAAAGAATAATAATCTTTTTCTCCAAGCGGCAGGTATAGTGGCTTTTTTCTGCTCAACAGGCAAAAAAGGTGTACTGTTACTGCCTAGGCAGAAAAAGTTTGTTGCTATACAATGCTCCAAGAAATTCTAATGAAATTAGTAATCAAAATTGACACCAACATTGGATGAAGTCAATCAACTACTTTTCTGCCTAGTGAAACAAATAACTATTGATGGATCGATGGATGATGTGAGTTTCAGTGGTTCAATCTCATCTGAATTTTTTATTTCATACATTATAACCATAGATTATGCAAATGTCACTGACATAAACATACCATAGGCAACCAAGTATACAATTCGTCAGTATAATGGGTCGTCCAAAAATCAGGACGAATTAGATTTCTTCCTCTGGATGGCAATTAGTGCCAGTGTTGCCGTCTTAGCGGTTTTATCGCGAAATCCATCGTTTTTGTCTAAGAACAAAACTGGAGATCCCAAATGTCCCTGATTCACGTAACCGTATATGGAATTTTTTTTCAAGAAGAGTGCGTAAGTCAGGTCGAAAACCAGAATCATTCGCTAGATTTATCTACAGGGACTACTGTAGATTCAACCATCCAGAATAAGTGTTGAATCTAGTACAATTTATTTATGATGGTACAAAATATTTTGACGTGGCAAGTTGGCAACGCTGTCGGTGGTTGTGTTGTGGTTGCTGCATGGTTGCTGCATTGGTGGAAATGGTGGGAATGTCAAATATTGTGGCACAGTGGGGAAAAGTGAATGTTTTCGTATTTTTAATCAATGTTTGTTAGTTAATCTTGATCGTTTTTCACTTTTTCAGTTCAAGTTTAACCACCAAGAAAAACAGAACTTGAGCACTCTACCTGCTTGAAAACAAGTGAGAGAAGTGAGGTTAAGGAGTTTGGCACTTGCAATGATCTTGATAATATCTTGATATTTACCTATATTACGAACCTAATGATATCACGATTAATATGATAAGAACATTCGGCTGACGAAGGCATGTTTGTGAGGTGGAAATCATGAAAAGAAATATCAGAACTTTGGTGAAATATCTACTGCTATCTTCAGTGACTGTGGTGTTTACAGTGCTGTTTTATAGAATTTTCAAAAGTAAAGATTTCAGGTACACTGATGTGCAATTTGGTGCTAAATATGGGGGAGTTGAGCCTGTGGCCCCTCAAAATGTAAGACATATATAACTGTTTTGTAGTCTAAAAAGTCTCTAGGTTATGGATTTTTTGGTTTCTAGGTACTTGCATTTGATAATGAAAAAATAGATTGGCATGATTATGATCAAATAAAACAAGAGTCTATGAGAACAGGTTTGTACTTATCTATGAAATTTGAAAACCTAAGGAACATGAAATCCAATAAAATCATTCACTCAGTGAAATTGATTATCCTAAAGTTGAGTTTGCTGGAAGCTGGGGAAGGTTTCCCCATATTAATAGCCTACTAGATTGTTCCAAATTATATTTTTTGCTCTTTCAACTGATTGAAAAAGTATAATATGCTGAGTAATATGCACAGTGAATGAATCAAGAATGAATGGATAATGAGGAAACAAGAATAAACAATAGATATATTATTAAAGACTAGGTATTCATAATTGAATCAATATCTACATGGGAACTTTCTCAAGTTCCTCACCATCAATTTATATATACCTAATTAAGTATCAACAATTTAAGTGCATGTTTACTTCAGTAGGAACCTATTTCACATGAATTTAATCAATCAAGTTTGGATGTGTGCATATTATTTAATTCTAATTTATTCTGAGTTGGAATCAGTGTGACTGTAACTTTTCCTTTCATTCTTTGATTTACATAATGTCTGAATAACATCATGAACTATAAGCATAATCATGAATGAAAAACAATAGATGGTAGATGCAGATGGACTTCAGTTTTGGAAGAGTTTTGAGGAATTTCTATTTATACCATAGATCAAATGAAATTCCCAGCAAAATAAATATTTGAAATGTTTCCATGATTTACATAAATGCTTGCATAAATGCAAATAACTCCACCTAGTTTCACAGATAATCTTAAAAATTCTCAATGCCAAATGGAATAACTGGATTGAAATTCTGATGCATAGGTAACTAATTATTATAGGCTTGAAACAGGCATAACATTAAGTTTAAGTACATGCCAAGATACATATCAATTATTCATGAAAAAAAAAATGGAATCAATAGTTTTGCTGTGTGATGAATAAAGCTTTAAGTGTATAGCAATGACCTTCAAATAAAAATAGTAGGAATTGAAGATCATTCAACTAATTTGAGGTTGAAGAACTGGTTTCATTGGATTTATGGTTTAATCCACAAATAGACCTAGAGATTATTCAGCATCCACAACATTACACTTTTAAGGTCCTGGTGAACAGGGAAAAGCTGCTTATTTAAATCAGGCTGAAAACCACAATTATGATGCCTTGTATAAAGTGAATGGATTTAATGCAGCCCTAAGTGATAAAATCGCTGTAGATAGGGCAGTACCTGATATTAGACATAAAGGGTCAGTACCTAGAAATGTGTTTACATCCATAGGTTGTATTCTATTTTATATGTTCCAGATGTAAAAGTAAGAAATATTTGAAAAATCTTCCTAGTGTTAGTGTGATAGTACCTTTCCATAATGAACACTGGACTACTCTTTTAAGGACAGCCACTAGTGTTGTCAATAGATCTCCACCACATCTTTTAAAAGAAGTTATTCTTGTGGATGATTTTAGTTCTAAAGGTATTTGTTGCTTTTTTAATATGTTTTTTTTTTCAATTCAAGTCTTCTGGTTTTTCAGAGTTTTCTAGGAAACCTTTGGATGACTATTTAGCTGCAAATCTAACAAAAGTTAGAGCTTTACATTTACCAGAGAGAAGTGGACTGATAAGAGCTAGATTAGCAGGTGCTAGAGAAGCTACAGCTGAGGTATTGATTTTTTTAGATTCACATACAGAAGCTAATGTCAACTGGCTGCCACCACTCTTAGGTATGAAGAGTTTTTTTTTCAATTGATTATGTGATTCCTCTCCTAATGAGCTAATGAAAGTTTGAGTTATTGTTTTCAATGAAAGAATCAGTTCAGCAAGGTTATATAAATAGTGAAAGAAATAGAATTATTCATTTGTTGCAAACAATCACATGGATAGGTAATCATTCCAATTGGATATTAGAATTGAAGGAAGTTTTTTATGTGAAATTCATTATCAGTGAAATAAAAGTATGATCATTTTCAAATGATTGTATTTTATTTTTTTAATAGAAATGGAATGAAAAAAATAGAATCCATAAATCAATTTGGAATACTTAGTGATATTTGTTGTAAGCAAAATTTTTTTGAAAAGAAATATCAAACATTATTAATCCACAGGGCTTTTCTGTTGTCAACTGGTCAGCAGAGTGATATTATTGATATTAACATGGAGCCAAATGTTATGGTCATTGGTATAAACCAGTCAAACAAAAAGTGATATTTTGCAACTTAATTATTGACATTTTGAAGCAGTATTTTTTTAATTAAACAGGGTTTTGAATTACTTTTATTTGGTGCATTCTTCATCTCCAACATTCACTTTATTCTATATGAGTTAACTATCACTTGTCATTTGTCATTCTGCCTTGATATCCTTGAATGTGAGATGACATTGATTTCAGCAGGGCTACACTGGCTCAAATCAATTTTTCACTCTCAAGGTCCTGATTGTTGTTAAAGTTTGACCACCCTGAGAATTAATTTATAATAGTATCAACTTATTTCAAATAATGTGCAATTCCTTATTTTTGAAATATTCCCAAACACAGGGAGTACAACTCTAAATATGCCAAAGTATTTTTCATCACTGAATCAACATTCCCATACGTTTACCTGACTATTTTTTTTTTAAATTTGATAACAGTGATTTGAAGAAGATGAACATGGTGATTAATCCTGAATGTTCTTTATTGGAAGGAAGTGTAGGAGCAGAATCATGTAGAAACTCCTTTTGAGAATCTGCCCTAAAAAAATCCACAAATGAAGAATTCTGACAAATGGCATGATTATGTTTTTTAGAAAAAATACTGTCTGAATCTGATAGTCAGTATTTTTTCTAAAAAACTTCATAATAAAGCTATTCAAGAAGTTTATCCTATCATCATGAATAATAATCCAAATTATAGAACTTCAACCTATTTCGGATCATCAACTGAAAAATTAGCTTCAATTCTATCCCTATCCTCCCTAGGAACGCACGATGTTCTTTGAACATTATAGGGATTCCCTTTCGTGCGCTCCAAGTGATAAAAAAAACAGGACTTGAGAGTAGCGTATAAAACAAATAACAGGTTGGGAAGGTTTATCAAAAATAATAAAGACAAACCTTCTAAATTCGAAAAATCAGGGGTATACAAACTGTGGATCTTGTCCTATGGTATATATCGGTCAGACAGGTCGTACGTTTAATCAGCGTATTCAAGAACATAAGACAATTTGTTTGAAAAAGAAAACAAATTCAACATACGCCAACCATATATTAGAAGAAAACAATAGTTTTGATGATAATTTCGAAATTCTACATGTAGAAAATAAAGGAATGAAACTCAAATCATTTTGATTCATTAGAAATCAATAAACTCGAAAATTTTGACATTTTACCACTGTCGAATTTGTTTTCTTAGTAGGTAATAATATTTATTTGCTATGAACCCTTTCAAGTTGATCCGATATACCGTAATTTAATGTAGATATATATTGTGCCTAATTTCCGAAAATGGAGGTTTATCCATCCTGTCCAAAGGTAACTAATCCTTCAAGTTGGGAAAGTAGGATATATAAAAGTTAAGCAAGCCAACGTTGGTTTAGTTGATCGTACCAGTATATCACCTGACGAAGCTACTATGTTAGCGAAACATGTTGTGTATTTGAGAATTTTGTGGAAATCTTAGCGTTTGTGAAGTTTTTAAATTTACTTCCCTACCAATTATTGTGATTTCTTCAAATCAAATAGTCTCAAAAAATCCCTAATAGGTATGTCTCCCTTGCTTCCACCAGAATTCTAATCCAATCTCCACTGATTTGATGTAATTTGAAATCTTATCTAGAACCAATTGCTCAAGACTATAAGACCTGTGTATGCCCATTTATTGATGTGGTCCAATATGAAACATTCGAATATCGAGCCCAAGATGAGGGGGCTAGGGGGGCATTCGACTGGGAATTTTTCTACAAAAGGCTGCCTTTACTCCCAGAAGATCTCAAACATCCTACAGAACCATTCAAGTGAGTGTGTTGAAAAATACAAAATATACAATGTGCAGAGAAGTGCAAAAATAACGGACAGTGCTGAAACTCATTCGAGGTCAAATTTTCAAAGTGGGTAGCCAGGTCAGACTAAATAACAATAGATATACACAGCGATTCATTAAACAATCACGAAAAAGTTTAGGTCCATAATCCAACGCCAAATACGGATAATTGAATGAAATTTGAATGATGAATTCAATGTATTTTTATTATTAATATATCAATAGACACATTCAAAATATTGCTTATACAGGGTGATTCAGGTTTTGAGGCACAAACTGAAATGGAAGATAGATCTCATCATTTCAATCAAAAAAGTTTATATAAACATTAGTCCGATCTCGTTCAATAGCAATGCTACAGGGGGTCAAAGCTTAATTATTTTTTTCTATTAATTGAAATATCTCGCTTACTTTTCAAGATATTATTTCGAAATTCGGTGTGGTCTAAAACATGTTAATTTTGCCTATGTTTCGCTCAAATTTTATTCATCTGAAAAAAAACTAAACTTTCTACCCTCTGTATCTCCTTTACAGATCCAGATTGGACTCGTGATTGCAATTTTAGTGAGTATATTTCATTGCACTTTCAACGAAAATAGAATGTTAGCGAAACATAGTCAAAATTAACATGTTTCAGAACGTTTATGCTTATTTATCTCAAAAACGGTCCTTTTCTCGAAAAAAATGAAGGGCAAAAAAGCCTTTGAATTGAACGATCCACACAATTTGATCACTGAAAGATGCCAGAGGCGTACTACGAAAAAGTTTGGGGGGGATAAAGAAGTCTCAACCTCCAAAAATGTATCACCCTGTAGATTTTTAATATCTTTAAATGGCTTGAAATGATGATCTTCTAGGAAGTATTGACCACACCAAATTTCAGAGCGATATCTTGAAAGATAAGCGAGATATTTCTATTAATAGAAAAAATAATTTAACTTTGACCCCCTGTAGCTCCGCTACTAAACGAGATCGGACTAATGTTTATATCAACTTTCTTGATTGAAATGATGAGATCTATCTCCCATTTCAGTTTGTGCCTTAAAACCTGAATCACCCTGTATATTAACTTGCTCTCTAGGTTAACAAATTTCGAAACAAACGAGAACACATTCAAAAAATGTACCCTGACATTTAATTGACGCACTAGGCCACCTAGATCTTGTACATATCAATAATATCACCCCATTACAGTGCCACACTGTCTAACTGGGATAATAAAATTAGGTAAAATATTTTGCATGCCTTGATCGACCGACTGTGAAGAATACCAACAGACATCAAGACGAATTCAGCGGCTTTGTTGAAAATGAAACACCTGGACAACGTTTTGAAGGGTGTTTATTGTCAAAAAACCAAATACCTGGACAACGTTTTGATGTTCGGGTGTTTATTGTCATTATTGATAACGTACTGTCTGCTTTAATTGAACGTATGAAGGCATACAAAATTACTAGTGTTTTTTGAGTATTTCGACAGCTAAAATATTTGACAACAAAAGAGATTTTGGAAAAATCCTCAATAATGGTGGGTGCTCACAAAGATGATTTGGAAAACAGCCTAGGCGACGAATTAGTGCAGT